GTCTGGGAAGGCACCCAAGGTTGTGTCACCCGCAGTGACGTAATTTTAAATTTCGATGCAGTCCAGCGAAGAAACCGAGCGGAACGAAGTCGCGGAAGCTCGGAACGTCGTTGTTACCGGTGGAGATCAACGCAAAGCGGCGAACAGAGAGTGTAATTTCGTCGTTTAGTCGTGAGAGCGAAGAGACGAGGTATTTTGAGCGTTGATGTTGCACAGCGAGAAAAAAATTGGCCGAATTAACGCGACAATGAGCGAACCGAGCGCGTTATCGTTGAAGAAAATTAATTTTCCGATTTTTATGGGGGAAGGTTTGGTTTTTGAAGGAATGCCACGTTTGAAAACTAGACCGTCAAAGTACTAACTGCTGTCTGCAAAGTTTACGTCGTATTGTTCAAACAGAATTGTAAATACTTTGATACAGTGAAAGTGCGCGCGAAAATGAATCGGAATGTTGCGCAATGTGTGACGAAAGTGTTCAAAATTAACGATGTCACTTATAGTGTAAATATTTATCTAATTGAAAAACATCGCAGCTTACGCGTATCGAACGTGTCAAACACTCTGATCAGGAAAATTTCACAGAAATTTTCATTGAAAAGACATAAAAACGTTAAATGCAGAGTACACGGTAAGGATACTTGGAAGGACACGGGAAGCTTGTAGAAACATTTTACATATCTTAGTCAAACTAATTCGTTAGATATAGTAAAACAGTAGAGTAGCGTACATTCATCGCGTTCACATTTATGTATAGCAGTTATACTTACGTAAAATACGTACAAGAAATACGAAGAGAGAAATATGGCGATGCCAGTGTTTATGTAACATAACATTTTGAGGATAACCTCTACGCTATTGACGCTTATCTTTGTCATCGGCTTTGGCATTCCCTTGAGAAGCAGAAATCCCGTTTCCTCCGACTGAAACGCGCTTGGTTCGTTCATTGTCCCGTTAATTAAACCAATTTATTTTCCCCATGTAGAATACCGAAGGGACAGCGTCACACAGCGTGTGTGACGATTCTCCGAGATACTCGAGTGCACACACCGGTTATTCTCCCATGCACGGAAAGAACTATTCCGTTGGTGAAACTTTCGCTACCTGAGGACCAGGACGAAAACTAGATTGTACGGTGAGAAAAACGTATCAGTAGAATCAGCAAAGTTCCGCTTAAACGAACAACATTTTTCCGAGCACAGTCTTTGGTCCACTGAAAAAAGTGTATAGTTGTCGTAATGAGTTATCAGTTGATTCAACGATTGCAATTTGGTCAGCAACTACGTCGATGCAACGTATTGTTGTTGCGCCAACGTGAAATTCGTTCAATGGAATTTTGGAATTCGTTCACGGAATTTTGAGTGACAGTGACCGCCGATTCTGTCGATCGAACTGCTTTTTTCTCTCTCAGTATAGAAATAGGAAGATTTCTGTAGGGGGTTTTCACTCGGTCAGTTGCTCTCAGTTGTCTCAGCCGAATTTCAACGCGGCTGTATGGTCGCACGAGTGCTCAGTTAACGGCGGTAACGGAGATATTTCATTTCTCGTTACTGAGCTTTTATTTCTCGTCGGCAAGTTTTCGATTCTTGTCACCGAGTTTTCGTCTTCGTCCCTGTTCAATTGCTGGAACTGAGTCCTTTTTTCCTGTGGAAGATCGTAAGGTATGCCACGCGCGCGTGTCTAGGTAATATGTTTTACAGGATATCCGATCTCGTGTAAAGAGAGAGAGAGAGGGAGAGAGAGGGAAAGGGGAAATTCTCTCGCACGTCCATGTATATTTATGTAATATTCACTGTGCATTATGTAACGTATTACGCGCACGCACGTTCATACGCATATTTGTAAATACTCGAGTACGCGATATAGGTTGTTCGCGTATATTTAAAGTTTACGCTCGCAAACGCATTTGCACGTAATCCGTAGTTTTTTTTCTTTTTTTTATTTACTCACCATGTATAATGTATAATTACGGCTACATGCGAGATTGAAGGGTTGTAATGTATATGACGAATATGTAGCAGCAGAACGTCGAATCAACGAGTCCAAACAGAAATCAATCGATCGGACTGATCTGTTCGCAATGAATTCCACACTCGCCAAGGAATCTGGGTAATCCAAGAAATCCATGCGATCCAACAGACCCTGTAATGATGAAGAATAATTTCTTGCAAACATATCACGAGCTTATACGAAATCTGACGAACCGATGCATCGATGCATCGATATCCTAAATATGGACGTGGAACGTGGATATGCAGCGTTCCATCGCGGCTCATGTGAAATATTATTGAATAAATTGTGCGAGGGAACAAATGAGGATTACCTCATCTATTATATTAATCGGTGTTACTTTCTTTCGGATAACAGCAAAGGTACATCGTTGTTGTTCGATCGCGTCGGTGAAGAATAAAGAGCCCGTCATGAAGCTATATTACTTGTAATTACGAATCTAATTTGCTCCGTTCGGCTGCGTTATATGCCGTCGTTCAATCACATTATTTGAAGTGAGCGATCGCCCGATCTATGACATCAATCGTTCTTTTCCTAAGTGCAGTGGCACTCGGTTCCTGATATTGTCGATATTTGAATGTTTAAGCAAATGCGTATAGTCAGCGCGGGAACTGTCAGCATCCACAAAATTTTCGAGCCGTCTCATTGCTGAAGTTACAGCTCGTTGAATTTTACGTATTTTTCACGATCGAAGAAAGTCATATTTTACGTTTTGCATATAGTATAACTTGCTCAGTTGAATTGTATTTTTCGGAAGTAAAATTGCGAAAGTAAAAATTAAATCGTTGATTTGCACTACTGGAAAATAAGAACGTTTTTGACTTGTCGAAAAGTTAAGAATAAAAAAAAACACTTGATTTACCGTTGAATTACATCACATTGAAGTAAATGCCTTTTCTAAGCTGTTGTGTCGTAAAACTTGAGAATAAAAGATGCGTCTATTCTGCGGCTGAGTCATATTACGATCTTGATTTGTCAGTAGAAACGGTGGCGTCTCGTAACGAAAACTTGAGAACTAATAATAAGTAACGAATCCCACCGCATCAGGTTGTGATAACCGATTCACTGAATTCGAGAACGGTTGGCTAACGGTTTGCCTGCCGCCATCTAACGTCTGCTGTCACAGAAAACTCGAATAACATGGAGTTCGAATCTCTACTAAGTGGTTTGAATCTGAGCTAAATAAGGTTTGAAACTTAACTAAATTGTTTCCTGGATAGAACTTTTAATTAATTCTAAAGTCTCCGCTATGAGCCGCCACTGTTATATTCCTCGTAAATTTTATATTTTTTTGTCTAAAATATATAAAATTGAAATATAATTATTTAATACATATATTTATTATATTGTTAATTCCCATTTAGTACAAATGTTCAAAAACATCTTAGAGATATCAGATCCAGAGATGTTCGGACATTTCTGGGACGTCTCAAGGATGTCTATTGAACATTTGTGCTATATGAGTTGTATTATGCCTCCATTTAATAGTTTAGACCAAGCAGAATCAGCTCGAATATAGTTTTATAGATTTCTCGTAATTTTGTATTTAGTCTTTTGCGATCGAAAATTAAGGTATAATTTTCGGTGAGTGAAATTTTTTAAAAAATATAAATAGTATTATATATAAAATGTCCCGGACTAACAAGTTTTGTAAGGGCGTAAAACGGATTGAGGTAAATAAAAGAAGTCCTCTACCATTTTGTGATTTTTTCAAAAAATAAAGATTACGATGATTGATATTTTTTAATACGAAATTTGCGCGATTTTTTTATATAATGATATATGATTTTCCCATATAGCAGAAATGTCCAAATTACATCGTAGGGATATCCTAAAGATATAAGATCGTGATGTTTTTAGGATATCCTTGTGATGTATTTTGAACAATTCTGTTGTGTGAGTCGTTATGGCAAAAAATTGAATTTTAGTAGAAGGCTAACTAGATACTCCATAAATAAATAAATAAGTATATAAATAAAAAGCAAATAACAGATTTGTAGTTTTAGTCTTTCTCTTCTCATTTTAGTCTTTCTCTTTTTTCGAACTATATCGAGTTCTTTTCTCCTCAAAAGATCGATGCAATGTCTTACGTTTTCTCTTTGGTACGTCTTTCTTCAGATTCCAGCAGAAATCTGCCATCATATGTTCGTCCCATCTTCCCTGATAGCGACTTTCCATTACTTTTATGTCTTGATGAAAGCGTTCACCTTGTTCTTCGCTAAAATCTCCTAGGTTGTCTGGAAATTTATCTACATTACATACACTAAACATCCTTGCTATTTATGTTTGTGGGATAGTAGAGATAGAGCAAAGCATTAAAAACAAAAAAAATGGCCTGTAAGATCATCGTTAACCACTGGTTCATATAACATCATTCACAAGTCTTTAGTGGATCCATCAAAAATTCTTATTCCTCCCCTTCACATAAAGCTTGGTCTAATGAAGCAGTTCGTTAAAGCTTTAGATAAAACAGATGAATGTTTTCGATATCTCCAATCGAAGTTTCCAAATCTTTCTGAGCCAAAAGTAAAGGAAGGAATATTTGACGGACCACAGATTCGTACGATGTTCAAAGATGAAAATTTTACTAGTAAAATGAACGGACTTGAGAAAGGAGCTTGGCTCAGTTTCAAAGACGTGGCACAAAATTTTTTGGAAAATACAAAAAGTCCACAGTATAAAAAAATCGTTAAAAATATGGTAAAAAACTTTGAAAAACTAGGTTGTTTAATGAATTTGAAATTACATTTTCTGCACTCACATCTTGATGAATTCCCAGTAATACAATATTAAATATTCCGTATAATTTAATAAATTTGGATAAGAAATTTTTGACAATCAACTACGGCCTTCTAACATTGATTTCTTTAAGTAATATTTCCTCATTTTTCTTATCTTTTTCACTTCCAAATTGTACGATTTTACGGTAGTTCGGGTAAATCGCAGCGCTTCAAACGCATGCAGGAAAATCAGAGACATTTAGGTTTCGTGGATGTAGTTTATTCATATTTTTATTGACCCCAAGAAAAAAACCATATCGTACATCTCATTCGAGCCGTTCGGAAAAACGATACATCGTGCGTGCAAATGAAAGTATGATGTTCATGATACACCTTAGCCTGTCTCTTTCGTCGAGCGTGTCGCAGCAGCAGCAGCAACAGCAGTAGCAGCAGCAGCAGCAGCAGCAGGCCAAATTCATTTGCTTATTTACTTACTTATTTGTCGTATATTCTCTTAATGTTGTGGGGGGGGGGGGTACTTACGCTAAATCAACGCGTACAACCGGAACGGGAACATCGGGAGCGGGTATTCGCTATTACGGTACGGCTAATCGGTTTTATTGAGTACGAATTAATTACGATAAGTACAAGTATGCTTGTGCATTGTAGTTTCATAGAAAACGTTACGTGGCTTCGTAGCTTCGTAGTCAACGTGTCGAACGCCGCGCGAACTTCGGCTCGACCTTGCGCACGATCGAGATCGCGGGAACGTGCTGCAAATGCGTGAAACGAACATGAATAAATCGCGATCGCCGATACGAATACGTCGACCGTCGCTGTGTCAGCTCGCTAAATACGTTGCTCATTAAATATACGTACAAGCTGGTTGTATTTCACACGAGAATCTGCAACGCGTCGATGAATACCAGAGCAGCGCCGAAGTTCCCTAAAGTCGTCTAAAAGATGTCTGATGCATTTTCTAAACAAATTCTAGAAAATTCCTAGGATTTCAGGAATACGTCTCTTCTTCTTCGACGCGTTTTCGTCTAATCACCGAGCACTATCGCGGCGTTCAACATGTTAACGAATGCAACTGACTATGTATGCGTGTATGTGTACATGTGTGTATGTGTGTGTGTGTGTGGTGTGTGTGTGATATCGATTCGGAATATCGATCGAGATCAGTGTCTCATTCTACCTGGGTCCTTCGAGATAGCCACTAGAACAGAGTTTCAAAAATCACTGCCAACTCCGCGTGTAATAGTACGTATGCATGCGTGTGTGTGACTGTGTGTGTGTGCACGCGCGTGTACGTCTGTTTTTCTTTTTGTGTACGTGTACCTATGCCTATGCTCTTTCGTCTAAATCCCCTCCTTCTCGTATTGCGCGTATTCTTTTTCTTACGTGTCGACGATTAGCGATGGCAGTGAATACTGGATCTCGCTCTAGAGCTTCGAGATCTCTCTCTCTCTCTCTCTCTCTCTCTCTCTCTCTCTTCCTTTCTCCTCTATCGTTCTGTTTCATTCGTACAACTTTTTATTTTCCTCTCGCTTTGCTCTTACGCGGTTGTGCTCCCTTCCCCAGTCTTCCTCGTGTCACCTTCTCTTCGTTACGTCTTGTTATTTTGCTTTCTCGCTCCTCTCGCCGCGCACTTCACAGCTTTTTGTACCAGAAGAGGTAGTGTTCCCCTTCGCTGATTTGCAGGTCGTCGACACCTGAGCAAGTACAAAGCGGTTATATAGAAATTGCGTTTTTCATTCATTACACATCACGAATTTCATCGCATAATAATTTCATGTACTGGCATACACCACATTCGATATATTTAGCGAAAAATATCGAAACCTGAGATTTTGCTTTTGGATTCTAAAATTTGTATGAAGGTGTAACGTTAAAATTTATTTACATGGATGCAACGTTTCTCTACCAAACTATTAGCAACACTTCTCTACAAAAAAATATGATAGTCTTATGAAAATTATTACATATTCCCCTTCAAATAATATATTTTTAAGATGTTTGAAGATTGACGCTTCTAGATACTAGGCCTCAAAACCGACATATCCATGATACCTATCTATAAAAAATTATCGAAAAAATCAAATGAAAACACTGAAATTACATTATTTTGTATGATTATTATATGTTGTCTTTAATCTTACATATTTTTTATTATGCGAAAATCCTCGACTTTTTTCCGATCACCATAAACAAATAAGAATGAATAAGAAAACAAGACAAAATCAGTCACCGGTAGCTTTAACTGTATCCTGTGAAATGATATTTCATAGTAAAGTTTAAGTATGTTGATTTATAAAACTACCTAATAAATTTTTCTTGCATGGTTCAATAACAGAGAATAGAGATTGGCACAAGATCTAAAGTGATTCAAAAAGTTTAAAACTCACACACTGTAGAATAGTACTGTCAAATAAATTACCGTTGCTTTGTCATGTTAATTTTCACAAGAAAATAGTTCAACAGAAATCAGTGTAACAAAAAATCAAACGACGCTTATAACAGTCGGACGTGCTTGCAAACGCAAAAAGTGCCAATTGCAACTACTGTAGACACAGTAGACGAAGTTCATCTTCTATCTGTCAGAGTTCAATATTTTACAGCCGTGAAACATAGATATATCGGTTTACCACACCTGTGTCGATTTTAGTACTTTTCCTCTAAATTATTATCAAAATCGTTGTATTTCTTTCAAGTTATCTAACCAGACGAAGAAGATCAATGGGAAAATTCTCTGCGTATCTTCTCCGTTTTACCTTTAGATATTTTATTTTTTCTTTTCATACATCTACCGTCCTTTTTTGTATTTTTCGCGAGATCCTGTTGCTCACGTGGTGCGATTGTTATTATTTGCAAGAATAACACTGGCGTAATCGAGAGCAAGCTGGATGCAGCGTTCAGTCGAATCGTACCTCCAGGTGCGACCAGCTGATTCCCGGGCGGCGAGGAAGGCTCCGGCGGCGACGGCAGTCTGTAGAGCAACCAATAGTGGTAAGACATCGGCTCCTCCTTGTAGCCGGCCAGCGTGTGAACGTAGTGACCGTTAGGCCATTCGGACGCGGTGAATTGGAAATGGGGCGATATTTCCGCCGCCAGCAACATCACACCGTAGAAAGTCTCGTTCTTGGGTGCGGTTACCATCAGGTTATACGTCTCGTTCAAATTACTACCGACCCACAGGGTGTACGACACGTTCACCAGCATCGGTGCCACAGTGCCCGCGATCGTCGCTTCCACATTGCTCACGTTGCCCGCCGACGCCGACGACGGCATGGCGGTCTCGCTATGGTTGTCCGATGTCGCGACGTCTGCAACTCGTAAATTTAAGAGACCATCGTTTCGTCCCTTCCACTTGTAAGGAGAAACATATTTCAGAGGGACAGCACATTTCATGCTGTCGTAGCAAATAAATAAATATACAGTGAGTGTTTTCTAAGTGTTGTCAATATCTTAGGAGTTGATTTTTAAGGCGTCATTTTATGAAGAAAAGGTATATATACGGAAAAAAGTTTAGTTGCATTAACCAGAAGAAAGAAGCGATCAGATACATTTTGATTGAAAGAAACACAATTTCTGGTTATAAGAGCCACATTTGGTCATAGAAATTAGAAATTCTGTTTCCTTCAACCAGAACGCATCTGGTTGTTCCCTTTCTAGTTAATAATTAGTTAAACAACAAGATTTTTTTTCGTATGTTTATGTCAACTTTAAAAATTTAAAAAAATACCTACAAAATATTTTATAGTATTTAAGAAATATATATATATTTATTGATCATCTATGTCAGAATAAAATTTGCTGTCCCCCTAAATTACTTCTTTTCATGTGCCCTACGCTGAAAGTCGCATCGACGCATTTTATTATGGATATACCAATTTCCTATGGGTTTTGTTTCGTAGTTTGTTTTTACAGGATAACGCATTTTGGACGATTACTATTACCATTACACTTGGAATAATATTCAATCTTTCAAACTTAAAGTTAAAAGCAGTAAATGAAGTAAAATTCAGCCAAGATTTCAAAGTCTGGTTAATATAGATCGACTTTTGCATACTCACGGGGATCTATAAATCCGAGTCACCTCAGTCAGTTCAAATTAATAAGCATTTCTGTCGGAGATAGAAATATGGTTTTAAAGATACTGAGTCAGTCGAAAAGTTCGGTTCGATTTTCATCCTGACGGTGAACCCGTCCACTTCTACGATGGAAATATATGAACACTAGAACATAGGCGAAGGAGCACAGGCAATCACGGTGACTATTTGATCGATGAATAACTTGTTTCTACCGCACTGAGAACAAAGTTTTGGTATTTATAACCNGGGGGGGGGGGGGGAGGGAGCAAAAATATATCTTCACACAAAATTTATTAGCATACTTATATCAAAGTCTTCGCGGATCTTCAGTAAACTTTCTTTTTCCTTCTCGCTTCTTTCCTTTCACGAGCACCACTTTTGTGTGTATACTTAATATGCACTTCACTGAGGCAATTTTCTGACATTGTTGGCCGCAACCATATTTTCATCCTCCGCAATAAACTAAAAGATCTCTTAACGGTGCTTGTTGCACAGTTGGGTCAAGGAACGTTGGTGAAATTGATAAATTTTCATTACACTCGTTTTCACAAAGCATTGCTAGTACTTTGTCATTAGTTTTTAATTACAAAACATATACTATAGCTTTTTTGTAGAATGTAGATTATAATCCGTGAAGATATCAATTACATTTTTTTACTTTTATGATTTTTGTAATTTAATTACTTCTCCCTTGCTAAAATTTAAAAGTGGTCAAGTGTCCCCTCCCCCTCTTGACTACATTCACGTTTGTAATTATAATCGCATAATAGAAAGAATTCTAGTGAAGAGAATAATTTTTCTAATAAGCCTCATTATATACGGAAAAAATAATTCGTTGATATTTTTATGCTGTCCTAACAAAATCTGTTAGTTATTATATGGATAGCAAAATGATTTGTTAAGAGTACTAATTGTCATTCGCTAGATATATTTTGCTGAATCTCTAAATTATATATTTTGCTATAAAACAAATCAGTAAATGTAGAAAAACACAATTTTGTTCTAATAGAAAATACGTACACTGAGAGAAAAATATAGTTATTTTCAAGGACGACAATATCCTTTTTTCATTTTAACCATAAAAATGGTCGAGAAAATTATTTCTCTAGTAAGTGTTACTATAGTGTTATTACAGTGTCAGCGATAATAATTTTACGTGCACGTTGCTACTATTATTTTTATGATTAAAATAAAAAAAAGAATAAAAAGAAAAAGAAAAAAGAATCGTTGTCTTCGAAAGTAACTATATTTTTCTCTCAGTGTAATATTAGTGTGCGATGATAACCTTACATGTGGATTGCTACTACTATTTCCTGGGTTAAAATGGAGTAAAAGATATAGTTGAGGTCGAGAATGATTATATAATTTTAGTGAGATTGCTCTCAGTGTGAATGCAGCGAAGTGGATTGCGAGAGACTGAAAGACCGAACTTTTTGACTGTATCCCCTTGTCATCAAAATAAGAAATTTACTATTGCTTGTGGTCAGACGAGGTGGCGAGTTGTCCGAGAGACCTTGTCCGCAGTCGAGAGCTCGGATACTGGCGAGTCCACGCGGTGCAACCCCTAACATCGCTTCGGCGGTGGCTCGGACGTCGCCCCGGAAGGACCCGTCTGTCCGTTGCTGACTGATCAGCCAAGCCAAGGCAGCGGATCTGTTCCAGTTGTCGGCTGGTTCATTCTCCACTTCTTCCAGCGCTTGCATCACCAACGTGGTGGTGTGCAGGTCGCCGAAGCTGCCGTCGAGCCTTTGCTGCTGTGCCAGCCCCATCGACGGGTTGCGCACGAAGTGATGGAGATTCCGATGTCGGTGGTCCTGGACGATGCATTGCAGAGCCAGGATCACCATCGCCACGGTGTCTGCGAACATTCGGAAGGAAATGACAAATGAACGCGAGAGAGCTTTCATTTGACACGAAACATTACAAATCCCGGTTATTGGCACGCAATTGTCCCGGAAGAAAAGTATTTGTTATGTGCAACTGTAATTGCACGGTGAAGTAATTTATAGCCGAGAAATTTTTGTAGTGAGTGCCATTATTATCACGGTAATAATAACTTTATACGCACAGAAAAACTACTATATTCAACAAATAAATATTACTTGTTTCAAGTATTTGATAAGTCTATATTACATATTTGTAAATATATCTCATAAGTTCTTTATAAGCATTAAAAAAAAGCATTTAAAAAAAATATCAAATTTATTCAAAATATATTCTGGAAAATATTTCCTAGTTTAAGTTTAGTATATTTCAATTAAGAATATTAAATTAAAATAAACTTCAGTTTGTGCTTATTTAAATTATAATCAAATTTTTTAATTTTTTTTTATAAAGTTTAAAAAAATACCTACAAAATATTTTACAGTATTTAAGAAATATATATATATATATATATATATATATATTTATTTATTGATCATCTATGTCAGAATAAAATTTGCTGTCCCCCTAAATTATTTTTTTCATGTGCCCTACGCTGAAAGTCGCATCGACGCATTTTATTATGGATATACCAATTTCCTATGGGTTTTGTTTCGTAGTTTATTTTTACAGGATAACGCATTTTGGACGATTACCATTACCATTACACTTGGAATAATATTCAATCTTTCAAACTTAAAGTTGAAAGCAGTAAATGAAGTAAAATTCAGCCAAGGTTTCAAATATTCTTGAAGAGAGACTAAATTTTTCTTTTGAATACGTGATAGTGAATTTATCTTTAAGTTTATGATAAGTATATTTTAAGACTATTATAAAAAAAATGTTTTTTATTGAAGATAACTTGAAAGAAGGAAAGTAAATTGATTAATCGTATTTTTCTTAGCAGTGGAATAATATTTTTCCTTGTGTATGTGCATTCTTCCACTGCAACTCCTTGTCAGCATGATCGCTCTCAAATTTCTTGGAATGAAATCTCACTCGAAACAAGCGAAAAACGATAGTGTTTTCACTTGAAGCAGTAGTAAAAATATTACCCCTCGAAATTGCAAGATTGAACGTTTCATTCAAGCTTAGAGTGGATTCTGACTTTATACGAGTGATGTTTTGATCGACTGGAGTGAATTTGTTCCCATAACGAATGGAATGTATCAGGTTCGCTCTTTCATTTCGAATGAAAATATTCTCGACGATTCAGAGTATTCATTCTATACGAATGAAAAGTTATTTGAATTCGAATGATTTGCTAGTTATTTTATTTTTCGAGTAAGATTTCACTCTAACAATTTAAAGAGTGAGAGAAAAATGTTGTTTTTGTTGCCAATGTTTGTCATATGTTTGTTATATATGACTGTACGGTGAAATAATTATAGTCAGGAAAATTATTTTTGTAGTAATTGCCACTATAGCCACGGTAACAGTAATTTTAACGCATATTCTCACTAATATTTCTTTGTTTAAACGACATAAAATATGATTGACGCTGAAAATAACAATAATTTTAATGAAATTAACCATTTTCTTTTCTCAGTGTAAGTTGTCCTATATTTTTCACTGCGATTTTGATTGAAAATTATCATTATGATTGAAAAGAACTTAAATACTACGATAGGACTACATGCCATTCAAATTTACTGAATTTTTCAAAATATTTTAACCTCTGATCGTATAATAAAGCACATTATGAACAAAACTTCTGATATTTGTAACTATAATTACATAGTGAAAAGATTATAGTCACTATTTTATAATAAATGTCACTATAACGTCAGTGATAATAACCTTATATACATAATGACGCTAATACATTTGGTTTGAACAACAAAAAAATACAGTTGACATCGAAAATAACTATAATTTTAGTAATAGCAATCATTTTTCTCTCAGTGCATATATAAAAAAAATATATACCTTTACATGTTGGAAATTTATTCAAAATTCCTCAAAATCGATAAAAGTTGCCTTCGAGCTTTTCTTCGTTATACTCGTCTAATATTATTTTGTTTCATTTCCTCCAACGATTTACTATCATATTATCAATAATCACACGATTTAATCAAAGCGATACAAAAACTCATGTTTTCTAAAGCTTCTATTTCCTCGCCACGATCGTCTTGATTAATGATGGTAGAAGTGAATAAAGATATGCCCAAAATTCTTGCGGAATACATTGAAATAAAAGAATATATCCATACAACGATTGGGAATACGTTTGTAAAGTATTCCGAAATCCTCCCTTTTACTTTAACAATCAATAAATAGCCGTGAAGTTAATATAGTAAAATCATAAGAAAAAATAGCTAAAAGTAGCTAAAAAAGAAGATCGCATGTCATGCCAACTTTACGATTATTTATCGATTGTTGCACAGAAAAAAATGCTAGATTCAAGTAAATAATTATCCAATACTTTTCAGCAAATTTTTACTTGGATCAAGTAACATTTACTTGGTCCACGGAAAATATATTTTCCGAGTAAATTTACATAATCGAGACGACTGCAGCGAAGGATTGGGAGACTTAAAGGATCTTTGAAGTATCTAAAGAATTCGGACGTTGTATGGATCTTAAGGTCACGCACCAACATTATGGTCCCGCGCGGCGTTCGCGATGTCCAGGAGGCGGCGAATCTGCCGCTTCCGCACGTGTGCTTGAGCGCTGCACGCCGCGAGCGTGGTCAGCGCGAACTCGTAATCGGTCGGCGGCTCGTGATGCTGCAGCGTGCCGATCAGATCGTGACCGTGGAACTGCCTCGGGTCCATGCACATAGCGTTCAAGGCCAGAGTATAGCGCGCCAGCCGCACCGGGGAAAACCCGACCTCCCTGTGTCTGTGAACACGAGCGAATGCGCGAGAAAAAAATTCAATATTTCGTGGATGTGTGTTTTGCGTAATCCTGTCTCGTATCTCCGTTTAACTTCTTCAGAGATATTGATGCACACTTTTTCAATTCAAATATTATCGATAAAATCATAACGAGCGGTGTAAACGAGAATAAATGTTCGCTGCAAAATCCCACAAGAAAGAGGGAAATCTCCTCGTGTGACTGACAGATGTATTGATGTCACCTCAATACTTAGACTGGTCGGCTAGTTTCCAGCGCGAGACCAAACGTGCGCAACCGTATGTACAGAGTCAGAATATAAAACAGACCATGCACCCAATGCAAGGATAATAGTATCTATTTTTTCATGGAAAAAAATTAGCAACAGTTCAAGACTTATATTCTTATGTATAAGCAAAAGTTATATGATCTTATATGAAGATAAAACTTGCTGTGCATAAAAAAATTTTATATAGTTCCATTAAATATCTATTCATGTTATTCAAGAATAATTTTTGTGAATTAAGGGGGAAAAATATTGGATAGAAAAAATTATGTCTTCCAACTAAAAATTGTATCAATTTGAAAATACCTTACAACAGGGTGATTTTGGGACCGCTGTGGTAACACTTTTCAAATTTGAAATTATAGCAGGCTCATATATACTGTAGTCACGGAAAACCGTGATTTAGCTTTGATTGTTCCCAGAAATCGAGTTTGACATCATCAATACCCTTCCCAATACGTCTCTTGTTCTGGCGCATTTTTAATGAGAACTTTATTAATGATTGCAACATATTAGTAAATTTCCCATGGCTTCAATCAATAACTTCAGTACGCTAAATAGATATTTTTTTTATTACTACGTTTTTGGATACAAGTTTACTGTTGGAAATAACTTAGCATCTCTTGTGGAATATTATTTACTTCTTAAAATGTAAAGTAATTGATTTTGATGACTTTGATAATGACTTTGATAATGATTTTTTTATATTTAAGCCCTGCAGGATGTCAGGCAATTTTCTCGTCTGATGGGGAGATCATATTTGCAAATTAAAGAGATGTTTCTTATTTTCAAATCCTATCTTGAATTTTTTAAATTCCATTTTAACAGTTTTTGTGATATTTTTGTTAACTTTAGTTATTACAGACAAAATTATATGTTAAAGATGACTATTGGAGGTTTTTGACTTCTCATGGGTTTAGGATCGAATTAAAAATTTGTCTATATAGCCTAGCATCTTTAGGAAATCTATAAACTGAACTGAACGGATGGAATTGATACAGAAGCCAGTAGAGATACAAAACTGTAAGAAAAAAAAAGATGTTCCACAGTCACTCCACTTCACGGGTTGACATTAGTACAATAAAAAAATTCTTCACTCTCTCTGATGTAAATTAAATCTCAAAATGTTTAAATCAATTTAGCTGAACAATGTAACTTTCGTCATGCATGAGAAAATCATATTTCCATATATAATGAAATTACCAGTGAAAAAACGTGAAAATTGTACCACAGTTACTCCGTTTTACGGTATCGTTCTTTCTATCCCATATTTTTTCTCTCAATTTATAAAAATTATTCTTGAATAACAAGAATTCCAATAATAAAATATTGTATATATAAATATTATTTTTGAATGACAAAAATATGTTTTTTAGCGGAATTACATATTAATAACAAATTTTTTTATGTTAGAACAAGTTTTATTTTTATATGAGGATCGTTTGATAAGTTCTTAGAATTATGAGAATATAATTTTTTAGTGCAAAATAATTTTAATTTTTCAAATATAATCTACCTGAAGCTTAATGCGCTTGGTCTAGAATGCTCAAGTTTTTGCATATTTTCCATATAATATGATTTATCTTTCTCCTCAATATAGTCATTTACAGCATGGATTATTTTAATATTCAAGCCAAATCTCTTTCCATTCAACCATTTTATCAAGTTTTAAAACAGGAAAATGTCATAGGGAGCTAAATCTGAACAATACGCTAGATGGTCGACTATTCGAAACGTAATTCATGCAATTTGGCCATTGAAACTGCAAACGTACGAGCTGGTGCATTGTTCTGGTGAGAGAGCATTTTTTCTTCGCCTTATGGAAATATTTTTCCTTGATTCTATCATTAATTTCCTTGATTGCATCATTAAATTGGTCCAATAATGATGCATAAATATTTTCTTGTGATTGTTTTTCCTTTTTACAGATAATAATCGATAGGCAATATTTCATGCGCATCTCGAAAAACTGTTGCCATGACCTTTCCAATTGATGAAACTGTTTTTGCCTTCTTTAGCGTACGTTCATCAAGAGAAATCCATTGTTTTTACTGTTCTTTTGTCTTTGGTATGTAGTAGTGAATCTATGTTTCATCAACGGTTACAAGATGATGCAAAAAATTCTTTGAATAACGCTTTCCCAACAACGCTTTGAAATAGTCACTCGCCTTTGATCAATAGTAAGCAAACGCAGCATCTATTTTGCGGATAGTTTTTCATATCCGAATTTTCATGTAACGTATTGTAGATTCGTTCAGTTGAGATGCCCACAATCTCATAATTTTATTCTGCGATCTTCTAATACGATATTATAGTTTTTTTCAATAATTTTTTTATTTGTCATCGTTTTTGAACGATCTAAGTGTTGTTCATAGCTCGTGCTTGTACGACCATGTTCAGCTATCCAATTATATACTGTTGCATTTGAAAGTGCGGACTCATCCAAAGTATTAATCATCGATGATTTTTACAGGCTTTAAATCTTTCAAGAACAAATATTTAGTAGATGCTCGGATCTCGATTTTATCTATTTTTAAAAAAAAGCAATAATAGTTCACAACAAAACCAATTGACGAATCTGTCGGAAATTTTATGCGTAGAGGTTTGAAGGATGGCAGACGTCAACTGTGATGTCAGTTTGATATTAATGGCGCCATTTCATATATTTCCGAAGGATTTATCAAACGATCCTCATTTAAGATTATACAAGGTGTCCCAAACTAATCTCGGTTCCCATGGTGTACAAATAGAACGGGTAAAACTGGGCAGAAAAGTCATGTACCATTTTGCAAAATTCTCAATAGTTAGTGAGGAATTAATTATTTTGTCTGAGCTAATGAACGTATGGGAAAAAGAAATAGGCTGTAAGATTAATTTGGGACACTCTGTATAAGTTTGATCACTTTATAATAAATATATTAATATTAACTTTATTTTTTTACATTAGTATATATTGCACAAATGATATTTCATATTATATTAGTATATATTGCACGAATGATATTTCATTATTTTCATTCAATATCTTTATAAATAGTTCATAAAATATATTTAAATTATTAAAACCATCATATCGTGTATGAGTGACGTCTAAATGACAAAACTAAATTTTCTTCTGATTTGAGGTGTACGGGAAAGTTTGAATTCTTCGACAATATGAAATTAAAGTGAAAACTTGCGAAAGAAGGACTGAAACTTTCGCACACACCTGATAATAAATTTCTCCCCAAGGAGGTTGAGTTGCGCGAAGTGAGGTTCCCGTAGGCCTACTCTGTAACTTCTGACGACGGTTACCGTCGTTACCGTTATGTTATCGTCATGCAGGTATGATATACGAGGTCTGTTCAAAAAGTATCGCGAATTTTGTGTTTTTTCAAAAATTATTTATTTATTCATGAATATCTATTTTGTCTCCTTCAAAGTAATCCCCATCAGATATTATACACTTGTGCCAACGTTTTTTTCCAATCCTCGAAGCACTTCAAAAAATCATTTTTTGTGATCTTGTTCAGCTCCTCCTTCGATGCCGTCTTTATCTCCTCAATCGTAGCGTAGCGTCGTCCTTTCATGTGCCTCTTCAGTTTCGGGAACAAGAAAAAGTCACAGGGGGCCAGGTCTGGGGAATACGATGGCTGCGGCATCATTTGTGTGTTGTTTTTAGCCAAAAATTCGTGCACAAGCAACGATGTGTGAGCAGGGGCGTTGGTACGAATTTCGCGGCGACCTGTNAATCGAATGGCACGAGCCAATCGATATGTTTAGGTCCTCAGCAACTTCTCTAACGGTGATTCGACGATTGGCCAATACTATTTTCTTCACTTCATCAATGTTTTCGTCTGTTGTTGACGTGCTCGGGCGTCCGGCACGCTCTTCGTCGTTCACATCTTCTCGGCCCTCTGAGAACATTTTGTACCATCGAATAAACGTTGCTTCGGTCCAAAGTAGCTTCACCATATGTCACAGTCAACATTCGGAATGCGTTCGCGCACTTAATTTTGTTAGATTCTTTGACCCATTTTTTGGAATAGGCAAAAATCGAAGACGAGCCAAAACACGTCCAAGCAAAACAGCTGTCAAAGATAAACTGAATATTCAAAATGGCCGAACTTGTCGGCATAAGTGAGGGACATGAGTACCAACATAAGTAATAACGCCACAAAAAAATCGAAAATCGAATATACGTAACCCGCGGAAATTCAAAATTCGCGATACTTTTTGAACAGACCTCGTACGGTAGAAAAGTTGCGCGATAGCAACGTAACAATAATGATATGATCATGAAAAGTCACAGAATATACCTGGAAAATCCATCGTGAGTTCAAAATTCAAATTCAGGTTGAAAGAAAGAGCGACAAGTCGGGCATTAATTGATTCCGGAAGCGAGCGCGGGCGGATGATCACGCCTGACGTAATTGCAATTAATTGGGATATTAATGGTCTGAATTTGCAGCGATACTCTTTGCACTGACAATGACAACCGGCTGAGGTAGACACTTTTGACGAAAGAATCGATAACGCGGAAGCGTCGCGCCGACGAGCGCATATCCGCGCGAAGCACGCCGTTCTTTCGCGAACGTCGCGTCTATACGATCCGACTCTGTACGCCACCGATAACTCGACGATAAAGAATGTCAAGGCGTACGGCTCTGAGAACTAGCCGTTCCCTTCAACTTCCCCTCTGCACGTGAACTTTATAGGTCGATGAAAAGTGCCGCAGTGTTATTATCTATACATCCGTTGCGCGGCTCGACTTGAACCGGCTATAACTGCCCGCTCTCAAGAAATTGTTTACTCGTTATAAATCGATCGTATGTGCGCGGAGCATATTTGTTTTGTCCGAGTTTCCCGATCGGGTCGAAGTACATACGTCCATTACCAGTAAGTTCAGACAAGTAAATTCGCGATTCGTTTCTTCGGTTCTTGATTCTCCGGTTCGAATCGTCACTCGTTACAACAATCATTCATCAAATCACTTTCAGCTCTGTTGTTTTGAGGTCTGTTAACAGTCGTCACCTTAAACTTATTCATGTGAAACTTATTCATGTGAAACACTCAGATTTTAATTTAGATCTTAATTTAGAGTTAGATCTGAGTTTTTCAGTTAAATTTGACGATACACGTGACGTTACACTCGTAATCGTGATTCAACTGGAAAATTCAGATCTAACTTTAAATTAAAATCCACGTATCTCACTTGAAGCCAATTTTAAGTCGCAACTATTAATATAAGTTTTAAGTCCGTAGTAATAGTTGTCACTTGAAATTCCTCCTCATGTGAGATATTTAGATTTGAATTTAAAGTTAGATCGGAATTTCTTAGTTGAGTCGTACGATATATTTGACATGATATTTGTGAATTCTAATTTATAAATCTTAATTAAAAAATTTACTTTAACTCTAGATAAAAATTTAGGTATACCGAGAAAAAAATGTTGGGCATTCACAACTGTAATCGCATAAATAAAAGAATTACAGCCAGAAGAACCATTTTTCTAGTAAATGTTACCGTAGTGTCAGTGACAATAACCTCACATGCATATTGCTATTGCACTGAGAGAAAAAATATCTAAGAAATAAAAAATATAAGAAATAAAAATATAAGAAATAAAAAACTTATTCGATGGGACTATATTAATAACTATACTAATAACATATTTACTTAAACTAACATAAATGTTTTACACTGAAAAAAAATTTTTTTAAGTAAGGAAATATATATTTTCTTCAATTTATAGCTTCTCATGAAAGTAATAATTTATTCCATTTAAATGAAAGAATTTTGAAAGACATTTAAATAAATATGTTATTAATATATCCACCGGAATAAATATTTTTTATTTTTCAAATATCTTTTCTCTTAGTGTACTATTTTTTGGGTTAAAAACGGGAGAAGATATAGTTGTGGCCGAAAATGGCTATAATTTTAATGTGATTTCTCTTAATATATCTTGAGACAAATTTCAGATAATAACAATTTATTAGTAGCCTTAGCTAATCGAAATTAAAAATTTTCAATTTCAATAAGGACGACAATATTACGTCTTTGATTCTTGAAAAAAAGGGAAACGGGAAAAAAGAAGAAAAGGAAAGGGAAGAAAGGAAAAAGAACAAAGGATAAAAGAAGGGGTGCGAATGCGATCATGTCGAGTTAATTAACACAATTCTACCTCCAAAGCGAGAGCACGATCTCTAGTTCCATCTGCTTGGCGGTGAGCTGCAACTCGAGCGGTGCCGGCGGTGCGACATTGTCGTCGCGGGAGAGATTCGCCAAACGGAGAATCAGAAGTACCCGATGCGTGTCGTTACCCCATCCGGCGTCCTTGTCCCGTTGACTCCACAGCCACGTGGCTGCTCGCTCCAGGATGGTCTCCGCCTCGGCGTCGGCAGACGTTACCTCGATATTACCCGCTGATGACCGACGAAATGTTCCCCCGTAATTTTTCACAGCTTGCGAGATCGGTTTGAGCGTATTACGTTTCGCGTTTTTGACACATTAACTGTCGTAGAGGTAATATTGCCACGTTTTATTTGTATTATTTTTATTTAGTTTCGTCACTTTTATTTTTATTCATTCTATCAACCCTTAACGCCCCAAGTGTTCCTCTCAGGAACGTAATTTTGTTTGATAAATACCGAATTTACAAGTGACCCCTTAATGCGCCGCTAAAAATACAATACTGAACTTCACAATTTCCTTTTAAATGCCTATGGATTAATAAAAACCTACTTTGACAATATTGATATTTATTAACTTCTATCTTGATCTTTTAATTCTACAGACTTATTTTGACGCTAAAACAACGAAAACAAAAATTTTAAGACATCATCCAAGTCAAAGTAGGAACAAATTATATGATTAGGATATTATTGGGATGTTATTAGGAAACTGAACATATATTTTGCTATTGTCAGATAATATAACGTCTAAAATTGGGACATAAGTCTGTAAGATATCTTTCAGACGTTTTATGTCCCGATTTTAGATGTTATGTTATCTAGATCCTACTGTGTTGTTATCTAGTGTTATGTTATCTAGTTTCTACTGTGTTGCTGAATGAAAGGTTTAACACAAGGCCAAAATTTCGACTCGGGCAGGATTCAATGACACGAATTAGCAAACGCATACTCCGCGAATTGCAATAATTATGCAAATTATTCATCGTGTCTCCGATTATTCAAACTCGAGTTAAGCGCTCGGAAGTAATCAAGGAAAATCAGCGCGGCAGCCGGAACGTGTCTGAAATGCGAGACGCGCTCTCAACTCTTTCCGTAGATTACGCACACGTACCTTCCGCACGAGCGAAAACGCACAACCATCCTAGAAGAAGGGTCACTGCCGCCATGTTCGCTCTTCCCCACATCACACCCGCCTGGTCTCAAATTGCGCCTGTACTATCACACCTGAAAGTCGAACGGAACTCGGTTACTCACACACACACACACACACACACACATACGTGGGGAGAACGCGTCCCGCAAGACGCTGCGCACGTCATCCTACTTTTATCGGAGTTCTCTCCGTGCGGGAATCTCTTCGCTTTCTTTCCTTTTTTTCAATATTATTCTCTCTCGCTTTCGTTCGAGAAATATTCCGGGCGAAAAGTTACCGCCGACGTCACAAGGAATCGTCGTCGCCCGATGTCGCTCAGTATGCATGCCCTCGCTCGCGGAGAGCAAATCTTTTGGCGGAAAGTTCGCGCGCGAACCCTGCCCGCCCCGCCGACTTCCCATAGAATATACCATGAATATTTAAACATCCCCGCACCAGCCTTTCTCGCGTGTTTCGTTAAACTTCTCGGCGCGTAGACAAACACGGCGGAATAAGGCGTGACAGAGTGAGGGAGGAGAGAGAGAGAGAGAAAATGGACGAGAAAGGCAGGAAAGGGAAGCGGAAGCAAGAACTGCATTCGAACTCCACTACGTTCCAATTCCGTACTCGGAACTCCTGCGAATTAACTTACGTGTCAACAACGTCCATACGTCCGGGAACGCGGCGATTATCCTACTACTCGTGCCAACTAATCACGATCAACGTCAAATGGTGCCATCGCGATCGCTCGTTAATCGAGATTAGCTCGGCGTCCGTGAGAGACCGTCGATGACGGCGTGTTGTATCTATCTTGCGACGATGTCGCATGTTAAGAGATGTATATGTGTATGGTTGGTAGGTTGCTTATTGTCAGTCCGCTCGCAATTCATCCAGTTAATTAATCATCCATGTTATTATTTCCCACGAATTTCTTGCCGAATTTAAATTAATTATAAACCGTTTGTGCGAGCATGTTCATTGATCGATCTTCGGCAACTTGGCATTTTTAATTTCTCTTAATGCGTTTAGTTATTAATTAAACCTTAACAAATTAGTGCTGCGGGTAAAATTTAAGTTTTAAATACATGCTTATATTTTTTTTCTCAATCTTTCTTTATTTTTATTTATTCGGAACTGGTAGATATTGAATCTCATGGATATCTAGCCAGTAACGTAACACTTATTTCTCCCGGTGGTTCTCGTTAGATGATAGGTCTGTTCGTTTCAGTTGAAGCAGTACTACACTCTGGAACTTTATGCTTTTTCCCTTCATTGCTTTTTTCCTTTTATGCTTTCTCCTTTCAAAGTTATACATTTGTTTCATTCTAAAGGCAAAAAAATTTGGCTCAACTAAAACGAACAAATCATGGCTAGATCATATTAATATAACGGCTAGATAAATAAGTTAGCTGATGGTTAAATAAAAAAATTACGAGACGAAAAGTCAGGTTAGTACTTTGAGAAAAATCAGACATTAATATAACGCTCACTTTTCAATTGCTTTCTTCAGACTTTTATGCAATGATGTATTCTCAATTTTGATATGCTATTTTATTTTTAAATGCCAGTGGTGGCTATATAGTAATTAGATCATATATTTTAGAATATATGATTTTTATCTATTCTATCACATTTGATACGTAATGGCTAGACAATAGCTAGATAATAAAACTGATTTTATATTTTAGTGGATTCAATCTAACTTGTTAGCTACTGCACAGTAAAAAAAGTTGTTAAATTGAATATATTTTACATATCCCAAACAGTCCATCCAAATTTGTGTTAATCTAACATAAGATAAATATGTCAAAAAGTGACACAAATATTATGTAAAAAATTAATTTATAAAATGTGACATTTTGATATTATTTGCAAGCAAATTGTATATTAAATTGATATATTTATAATGTCAAATATAATAAAAATATTTTTATATTAAGAAAAAATGTTATGTATCACTTCTTTTTCATCGTGCTGCTTAAAATGTCGTCAATAATTTTGCTCGAAATCTTCTTAACTATATACTATTTAATTGATTCAATCAATATCACGTTTGAAAAATATGCTTACCACTGATGAGATTGAAACTTGCGACCTTAAGTCGCCTATCTTAGACATACTACACTACTTTTATATTCTAGCTATATTCTGTGTTCTGTATTGTCTAAATTTTAAGATGACAATGTTATTGAGGATAATTAACGCATCTTGTCTGTAAATTTTAACATACAATATATGTCATCAATAATATTCAATAAAATTCTTTAACATCCATGATATATTAATTCACATTCTCTTTCTGAAGTATAAAACGTGTTATTTCAGCACTTACATATGTTGAATATCGACTCAATATAAAATAGTGAGATAACATAAACACAATATATTAAATTAACATGTGTGTTAAAAACTTCTCACAAAAGTTTGAACAAGGACAAATTTTAACATATTGCTGCGTAGTTTTTGACTCAGGCCGACTAGATACATTTATTCGGGTCGTGCGTATAATATTTCCAATTTTCATTGCAATTAGCATTATTGATATTAGTAAAGGAGAAGATGGTATTATGTTGTAGATATTATGGTCCCTCTTAGGTCAATATTCATAGTCAGATGCGATGTTTAAGACTTCTTAAGACTTCATTTTCAGACGCTTCGTAACCAATAAAGTGAACAGTAATGGAAGATGAACTTAAGATGGTCTTAAATATAACATCTGACTATGAATGCAAGTAATGATCTATAGTTTATGCACACATAGTCTGTCTGCACTACACTTCGCTGTTCTTCTGACAGATTGTATCTTCTGACAAGTAAGTCAGTATCCACATTAAAAATTCATGATCGTGTTTATTGTCATCCTTTCTAAAAGTTTATTTCGAATACATGTATAATTTTATAACGAAACACTGTGTATTATTTTAAACAAAAACCAATTTTTTAAATCCATTTTAGTTAGGGACCATTATAACCCCTGTTTCCCTTCAACCTACAGTACAGTGTCACCGCGTTTTCTTGTAAACAACGTCCTAAGAAATAAATATTTCATAACTTTGGATCTCTAGAGTCGATAGAACAACTCTTTAGCAAATGTGATCGTGCAAGCTTTCAATTTATAATATTGATCATTGACCAAGTTATGTTATGCAAAATATAAATGATACTAATGTCGGAACGTTGAAATACTTATTCGTTTCTCACAGATAAAAGAATATAAATGAAATTTGCGTTATTTGCTTATCAGCTGAAAAGACTGTCGAACTCTCCCCTCCCCGAGGAGCGCCCCGCGAGTTTCGACAGGGACTCTTGGCGTTGAAAACCGCGCGTCTGATTCATCGGTGTTTACTTTTTCCAGGACACCGCGTGGACATCATGGAGCGTGCGCGCGCGCGCGATCGATCGCGCGCGGAATCGACAAGCGGCGGGCTATCGGCGAATCTACAAGCGTGTGCGGCCTGGTCGGTGGCTTGATGAAACGTTTTAATAAAGACCGGCGCGCCGGCGTCGCCGCATGTACACACTCTGTGTACACGGACGCGTGTCGGAAGCGTGCGTATGAGGAGCGCGCGAGCGTGCGCACGTGTGCACACGCGCACCTGTGTGCGGCGTGTCGACACGGGCATGGATGATAAATCGTGTGTCTGTCGGATATACCGGCAAGTGGAACACAAGGGACGTCGGGCGTCGGTATGCCCGTGGAACACGGACTCGAGCGCGCGCGATATTGCGTGGGATCGATATCGTGGCGCCTGTCGCCCTCTCCGAGAGAGAGAGTCAACGTATATATACATGTACATACATATGTACAAACACATACACGGAGTCATGTAACTATGTAGACAGGTATGTATACCTGGGAAGCTCTCTCTCTCTCTCGCTTTCTCTCGCTCTTTACTTCCTTCCTTCCTCGCTCTCTTCCGCTCGTAGTCCGCTTGCTCGCGACGACGACGCGCGTCCTCTATCGCACGCTCGTGATCGTGCGGCATCATCCCCGTCTCTATCGAGCCGCCGCTGCGATGTCGGGAAAGAGTATAGAGCGCGGGTTGCTAACCGAACGCGTTCGTAGTCGGTTTCGAAATAACGCACAAATACGGTTGAATTAAAATCGTGACTTGCATTCTCTCTCTCTATTTCCGTCCCGTGTGCGGGGCGCGCGCGCGCGTCGTCTTTGCGTTGTATTAATAAGTCTCCATTCGACGCTGGTATTTTTACGCAGCCGTCTCGCGACAGAACCCGCTATAATTAAATCCCCCGGCGTGTATTCCCGTTCCTCGTTACGTAGATGAAGTCCGGTCGAGATAGACGGCTTTCGAGAAGCGACGAACTTAAAAGTAGGACTCTCGCGGCTCGTCCGGCGCATCCGTTACTCTGGAAGATGTTACTTCGCTTCTCCCAGCGAGAGATAACACATGTAATTCTAACCCGGGGAACGACGGAATTAATGGATCCCGCCGCGGCGGCGGCAGTAATAACACTCGTTATAAATCCTCCTAACTCGCCGCTAAAAACTGCATTTATTATGTACCAGCCATGCTAATTTCTTCTCTCCGAAGATACCTGCGGAGTCGTCCGTCGGTTTCGTCCGATAGTCACGAGCGCCTCGGAGAGCCTTAAATATTCCAGCGGAATCGAAGCGAACGCTTCACCTGTTTTCGGCTGACGTAGCTCGGCTTATGTAACCGACACACGCGAGACACACTCGGACGAGCGTTCGTGCAAGGCCGTGGGTAAAAACAGACGGAGAATGAAGAGCGAGTAAAAATAAACACGAAACGGAAGCGATCCGAGGTTTCCCGATCGCGAAGGCGATTGTCTCACCGCGACCGCCGCAGCGTGAAACTCGGGATATTTGATGCTCTTCCCGCGATATTAAGGTAAGGACGTACCTTAGTATCGGGAGAAGAGCGTCAAACATACCTGGATACTTACTTAACGGTGAACATTCTTGTCGTTTTGGTCCTTATGTAAATACGAATTACGTTAAATATAACATTCTGAATCATTCATAAATCTTTAAATATAAAATATTTATATATGTATTCAATATACATGTACATGTACAGTGTTCCGCGAAGAAACCGACAAATTTCGCTAGCATATTTGAGAGGTCGTTCTGAACGAAAAAAATGTTATATAAACAATAAGTTAATTCAGAGCACGTATGGATTCGTTCGGAATTGATACCGATCGGAATTACTCATTATTTCCTATAAAATACAAGAGAAAATCTAGGAAATAATTAAAAGATTCAGATCGAAATCGATTCCGAACAAATCCATAATAGTCCTGCTCCGTTATCGAAATATGAACTTATTGATATAAGCTATAAATAATTAGAAATATTCAAGTTACTTAACTTTTGTTTAATTATATATTTGAAATTGTGGGAAATTGCGTTTAAGACATATTGTACTAATATTTACACGTATTGTTCAAAATGAACACTTCTTGCTTCTGTGAACGCAAGTAGACGTGTTTCCATTGATCGCTTCCACGCAATATCAGCAAGATCATTGCTAATACTAACAGCAGCTTCTTTCATATTTATTATCAACTGCTCACGTATATTTAGCTTTCCAATTAATCAGAACGGGAATGCAATCTTCTAACGCGATAACTAGACGCATCAGTCCATATCTCGATAACGAAACTAAATTGACCTATTGTTTATATAACATTTGTTGTTTTCAAAATGACCTACCAAATATGCTGGCGAAATTTGTCGGTTTATTTACGAAACAGCCTATATATGATGTTGCATATGTTGAAAGTTTGAGTATTCGTATTTAGAAAGAGTAAGACAACAAGAATGTGTCGATAGGGAAAAAATGTTGGTGAAACAACAAATTGTTAGTTACTGCAGTGACAGCTAAAAGATTTGTTAAGAGTATTAATTTTAATAATGCCAATTAAATGTTATCATTTTCGCAACAACATTTCGCTGCAATAGCAAAATTACTTTTTCCTCGTAAGAAATATTCTCGTTGTCAATACTGCAAATCCAAATATATTGTTTTTACAGGCATAAAACGTCTGAAAATGACATGTTTGTCTGATGACACGCTTTTTCTTTACATGTTTCTTGCCACTTTAAATCGCGTCATTTAAAACGTTTAATCGTGTTAAATTATCAGTCAACACGTCCGATCGTGTTAAATGACACGATTTGAAACGGCAAGAAACGTGCGTAGGAAGCCTCACTTGAAACAACACAATTGGATTTTCAGTAACAAACATCAACTAACAATTTGTTGTTCCAGCGACATTTTTCTCCCGTGTAAGTAAGCACATGTCCGGGTATCGGCACTTTTGCGTAACAGATATGTTTAGGTGGAAGGAGGGACGAAAAAGAAAGAAGAAAAGAAAGAGAAAGGAGCGGGGAAAAAACGGAATTCGCCCTCGGGAAAATCTCAGTGTGTTCCGTCGAAATACGCGGGATGCGCGGATTTACACGGCCGCCGTCGGCCCGCTGCTAACACTCCGCCAAGCTGTTCCGATAATACGCCCGATTTCGGAAGGGGTTGTTGTGCAGCTCCGTTATCGCTCGGACGACGTCGGCGGAGCAACGGTGCGTCCGGTTGGATGAAGCTACCTCCGCCGAGCGCATCCCTTGCCTCCGCTGCGAGCGAGAGAGAGAAAACGGAACAGACGGACAAAGAGAGAGAGAGAGAGGGTGGATGAGCAGGGCAGTTGCGACTGTTCCGCGGCAACGCGGACTGTAATGGCGTTACAGCGGGTTTCGTGCGGCGGTCGGAAACGTCGATGCGAAGCGATAATAGCGACGGGAATGCAATATCGCGGGCCATGCGGGTGCAATGGATAAAAGCTCGGTTATCCTCCCGGGTGGCTCGAATCCCAGTCATCCCCTCTCTCTCCGTCGCCCCTGCCCGACTTGTTTCGGGTTCTTCTAAACATTGCCCCGCGCGCAATGGGTATATACTATTGTTCTCCGGGGACTCGGAACTCACTTAGAGCCCCGGCTAAACGGCTTAGCTGGCGCCAGCTCTCCGAAACTGCAAAATGCAATAGCCCTCATTGCGGTTCGCTGCAATCGTTTAGGATTACACGCAGAGTCCGGCTGAAACTCCGAGCTCGCTCCCTCCCTTCTTGCCCGACGAGCCACCGACGGTCGTCCTCCGACTGCTTCTTCCCTTTTCTCTCTCTCTTTTTTTTAACGAGATGATTGCCGCCTTTCCGAGCCGTCCGTTGACTCGCACGTGGCGGCGAAGTGTCGAGTGTACGGTATCGCCTTTTAATGGACTCGCGGGGAGACGAATTAACGCCATCGTGGTCGTCGGGGTTTTTCGGGAGGGAAAAAAAGAGAGAGAGGGAGAAGCTCGACACAGCGAAATACGGCGACACGCGTAATTGTCGGGAGCGCTTCGCGCGGCGCAATAAGCGAAGTTACGATCGGATAACGTCGCGCGGACTACCGTTCTCGCTCCGCGGAATAATGAGTGCACAATAAACGAGGTTGCATAATAAACGGCGAGAAGAGATGTAGCCGATTGCCTCCGACACGGGCGCCCCGAAGTTTCCGGCGTAATCCGCGCCGTCGTCGAAGTAATTATGGGTATAATTGAGATTCGCCGAGTACACACTGCTCCGCGCGGGATATCCGTTTGCGCTTTGCTGCCGGCGATAACGATGTAACGAGCGTATAATGTTAACTCATTATGTGTCACTTTAACATTCTCCTCTCTCTCCGATTCGCGCCCTCGTACAGCGTTCATGGTCGAAGAAAAAAGATCGTGAAGAATCTGGGAGTTTGTAGAAAAGAATACATACAGTTTCCGAATCTAATTTCAATATATCGGACTTGCGAGTCTGCAATTTCCAATATCAACGGAATTCCGCCGCAGAGACGCATGAGGGGAAAAAAAGGAAATAATAATCACAATAGAAAGAGAGAGGGGGGAGAGAGAGAGAGTTTGATAACGATACACCGGGTTATTGACCGAGCGCGGCTTTTGAAGTGGTTAAGCTCAACGGTGTGCGCGCCTACGGGAGAGCAATATAATACCGTCCTATGTAATATACCTGATTGTACAAAGGAGGCTTAATATCCAGCAACAGCGTAGACGAGACGGCTATGCAAGAGAGAGAGAGAGAGAGAGAGAGTCTTCTCGAGGAATTTCCAGCAAGGAAGCTGGAAATTTCAAAGAGTGAGGGAGGGAGAGAAAGAGAGAGAGAGAGAGAGTGAGTTGCGCGAAAGTAGATGTCGGTATCGACGGGCTCTCCGGCGTGAATAATTACATAACAACAAGATTTCGCGTGTACAGCTGTGATGTGAATTTTACGCGACGATCGGCCAGGGTTACTCTCGAGGTTAATCTCGAAGTGGCGCGTGAATAAAGAAACAGGGCGGATGGACATTGGGATATATCGAGAGCCGAATCGGGCTGCGCTTCCGGGAGGGGGAATACCCGGTCAATTATTCATCCGGAATCGGTTTGCGAAAGTTGCGTTTTATTCGCGAAGTTGCACATATATACGTAAATACGTCGCACATGGTACAGTCGCTGCAATTATTGTTAATTATCGCGAGATTGATAATATTTACTTCGTAGGAGTTGGCGGAATGTACAGTCGAAATCGAAGACTGCAGCGCGCGCGCGCGCGCGCCAGGCAGTAGTAATAAATAACCTTTATAGCCGGACGGTAAAATCAAGGTGAGTCTCGCGACGTGAACTTCGTATTTACGTGACGCCAATTATCCGGACTTTATAATTGTGCCGCCCGGTGAAATATTCATTCTCACGGCGGCGAATAGAACGACGCGCCGATCTACTCGGTTGACCCAATATAATCTAGAACTAGGAAATTTATGAATGATGGGCGACGTGATATGCGATGCACGTACGTAGCGCGAACTAGTTTCGGAGAGCCGCGAGACTTCTTTTTTCAGCCGCAAACTTCCAGCGGAGAAAATGATTGCAATTTTTGAACTTGCGCTCTCTCTCTCTCTCTCTCTCTCTCTTTCTTTTCCTCTTTCATAGTATAAAGAGATTATGCTGAAATCTTTTACGCGCCTCCACAAGAGAGGAAGATGAAACGGCGCGGCGGAAGATGAAACGAAGAACGCACTCGCGTATGAAAAGTCGTTGAGTACGTGATAAACTGTCCGTCTGCGTTTAATGTAACTTCGTTTGCATAAAATCAAACGTTCTAATTTATATATGTTCAGTTAATTTCCATATTTACATTTTCATTTGCCCCCATTTGCATTTTCATTCCAATGATATCGCGATGTATCACCGGATGTGATTTAGCTCACGCCGCGAATATTTTCTGCGGCACCGAAGAGACCGCCAAACGGAGCGTACGTGTGTGCGCGCTATTTTTCCTCTCTCTCTCGAATTTTTATTTTTATTTTCAATTCGAACGCATCCGTCTCGATCGCGATTTCATCGCACGCGAATAACATAACGCGATTCGGGCTCCCGTTGTCCCGGTTTTGCAGCGGAGCGAGTATTTTAATCGATTCCACGTCGCCGCGACGCAACACGCACGGTTAGACAGTCCGATATCAAATTCAGTGCTACGTGTGAAAATACCCTCTTCGGAGATATCCCCGAAACCCGCGAGCGCCCTCGTCGAGCTTCGTCGGATGGTCAGTCCGCGCTAAATTCACACGAAGGAAAAAAAGGCGAAACTTTTCGGCGGAAGCCGTTGTCGGACGACAAAGCGACGACTCTGCCGAGCGTGACATCGAGTCAACCTTCAATCACCTACACGTTTAGTCACTCGTGCGATTCGGCTATAATCCGATTGCCTCCTCGTATGCAAAGGCGAAAGCCGATGGCACCTAACCCGACGACTCTTGAATCGAGCTCTCGAATCTTCCCTCGGAGAGTGTCGGTCAGCTCTCGCGCGGTAACCCCGCCGGACCCTTAATCCCGATTGTGCGGAGGTCGAAGGTTCCGCTTACCTTAGCGGGTGAAATAATCGTCTTGTTTGTCCGGACGGTGGAGACTCGGCTTCTGTTCCTCCTTCCTGTTCCTCGCGGGGTCGGAGAGCGCGCGCTGTGGCTCCTTACCAAGGCCGCCGCCAAAACTGACTCGATGGCGGCGTCGATGAGGACGACGGCGACGACGGTGCACGGCGACGACGAAAGCGCGACGACGGGTGCCGCCACGATGCGCCTGTCTCGTGAATGCGCAATGCAGACCGAACCCAGGAACGGCGGCGCNCGCGGGGAGCCGCGACGCGCTAGGGGTTGGAGAACCGCCCTCTCTCCCTCACGAACACTCCGTTCGTTAGCGATGGCCTCGCGCCGCGCGTTCCTCCGAATTCCGAACAAGTTCCAATAAACCGATATGGCGGTTAAGAAAAGCATACGATCAGGAGGGAAAATATTTCAGATCCGACACGACGCACAAATTGTTTAATCATTCTAAATTATCGGAGAAACAATTTGGGAAAATGATGTGTAATTTTATTTAGAGACCGCAAATTTTATGCTGTCATAAATAAATCTCGGGTCGCACTTCGCACTGAAGAGGTGAAGTGAAATGTTCATGAATCGTCGGAAACAAATCCACGGTGGACGCGGTGTTAACTCGGAAGCCAAAAATCAAGTAAATCAAGGAATGTACAGGGTGTTTCTTAAGTATTGTCTAATATTTTTGTTTATAACCCCCATTCTCTATGATCTGTCCCGAAAGAGATATTTAGTAAAGTTTGTACGATACGGAAGATATTTTGGAAGGCATGAGCTCAATAGCTCATCCCCATGTTATTCTATTTTAATTCAGGAGATCTTGCGGGATCTTCCTTTTTAATTGTCGGTTAGGTTTAGTCCAATATTTTTGGAGTTGAATTTTGTGGTTAATTTATAAGGAAAAATTCATATGAACATATGCTCACTTCTTTATAAAATCACCTGAAGAATCAATTAAAATATTGGATGATATTTACTACGATAGCGTAAAGTTTGCAGTTCTTCTTCATTATTTTTCTCCATGTGAAGCTTGTTGGAAAGATTGATATCAAATTACGCCGTGAAATTTGGATGAAAAGCAGATGTACCGATGTAAATTGCAAAAATTTAAATTGCATTGCACTCTACAGAGGAAAAACACTAAACCTGACATAAGTATGATAAATCGACATACATATGAATGTTTCTCGGCCGTAAAATACTACTAAATTGTCGGATAGAACATGCACTCCGTCTACTGTATACTACTGTATACTACTGTATAATAGTTGGAGCTGAAGAGGCAGTTTATGTTTGTAAACACGTTCGGTTGTGTTATTAGCGTCATTTGGCTTTACGTTGTGCAGAAGTTGTTCAACTATATTCTTGTGAAAATTAAAGCAACGAATCGGCGATAATTTATTTGACAATGCTATTTTATAACGTGAGTTTTGGGCCTTTTTCAATCACTTTGGATCTCTATCCGCTGTCACTAAATGAAGAAAACAAAAAAGTTAGAGTTAGGTTGTTTTGTAAACCGACATATCTGTGTTTACTGATCTTTCAACAAACCTGAACTTTGTTGTAAAATATCATTTTACAGAATATGGTTGAAGCTACTGGTGACTAATTCTCCCCTGTTTCTCTTGTTTGTTTAATATGGTTGGAAATAAAAACCAGGGGATTTCTTTTAATATAATAAAAAAACAATATACATCGTAAAATGTTAAAAATTTTAAAAAATATGTTAGATTAAATATAACATGTATGAATATATGCACAAAATAATGTAATTCCAGTACTTTTATTTTATTTTTTTGATAATTTCCTATATCACGAATATGTCAGTTTGTAGGCCTAATTTCTAGAACCGTCAATCCTCACACATCTTAAAAGATAATTATTTGCAAAGAAATATGTAATAATTTTCATAAGATTATCATATAATTTGATAGAGAAATATTGCTGATTTGCATCCATGCACATACATTTTAACTCTATACCTTCAATAAGGCTTTAGATCCCAAAAACAAAATGGTATGTCGGTTTTGATGCTCTTCCTCTTTCATGTCAAACAAAATAAATTACGACGACATAACGCAGAAGTATATATTCTCCGGAAAACACGTTTCAGAAGTTTCAGAAATCAGAGAGTAAAATTATAACCTGAAATTTTGTTGAACATAAGATGTGGGGCACTAAATGTACGAAAGGAAAGAGGGACGCGCATTTCTATGTGCCAAGAGATAACGTGGGTAAGATCTGTCGCGATCAGTTAATCGTGACGTCGCACGCGAGTGTCTCGTCGCCGTCGCCAGTCGTATCACTATCCCTTTCCAACATCCCTAGCAGTCCCGCCGCGCTCGATCCTCCCTCGTGAGTCTCCACGCACCCTCTCCACGGACATAGTCGATTCCCTCGTGCCACCCTATTCTACCCATTTCCATCCATTTTTCCGAGCAATCCCCCCTTCTCCCCCATGCAACCACCCCCGTCGCACAGATCGGAACCCCTTCCCTTTCTCCGCGGATTTTTCCCACTAGACTCGTGTCCGTCCGGAGGACGCGCCATTTTTTCTTCTTTGTGTTTCGCATTTCCTTTCGTATCCCCTTTTCGCCACCCCGCTCATTCGCTCGCCTTCTGAATCAGCCAGCCTAGGGCGCTCCCGATGAATCAGCACCCCTCCACCCTCGTCCCGAGCTACAGGGCTGTAGCTAGAGAGAATCCTCCTCGCTAGACGAACGGTATTAGGGGAGGGCTCTCCTTTGAGGAATCGCGCTTTGAAGTGGCTTGCCGGCCGGCTGCCCGCCAGGGAAAGTAATCTGCTTTACAGAGGGCGATCCTCCGGTTTGCGTTGAGCAAAATCGAGACGAGCAGCCGGAAAATAACGTTTACCCTTAGAGACGATAGGGATCCTGCGTAGAGAAGGTCCCCCGTCTCCTGTCGAGTCGTACAACGGCGCACGGATTTATCGTTACGGCCGTATCATAACAGTAACAGCGGCAGTTCGTCGGGTTAGAAAGCTCAGTTTTTTTTTACGAACGCCTCTAACGATTAGCGTAAAAGCTGTTTACTATCGCAGTTCTCATGAAGCGCAAACAGAGAGTTTTCGACGTGATTATGAAAATATTCCGCTCTCTTTAAGGTGGTTGGTCTGTGGAAATACTGTTAGAAAAATAATGGTTAATATAACATGAAGAAGCTCTATGTGACAAATTTATCTTAAATATTTATAAACACGATCACAGTTTTGACTCTATAGCAAAAGAATATCGATAAAACCTGCATAATGTTTAGAAATTCATAAATAAATAATCGTTTTCGCACTTTGGCGTATAATACTTTTGACTGGAATTGCCCGTGTTAGATATACATTTGTAAATACGAGTGTAGATTGAAAAGTTTCCGGTCTGACAGAGAAGAAAACATTTTGTAGCCAAATGAAATTTACTTCTCAACATAGCCTTCCTTCAACTCATACATTTGGTCCAACGTTTTTCTAAATCTTTCATTCCCTTAGTATAATAATTTTTGTCTAAACTCGAGAAATAGTCATTAACGACACTTATCACTTCAGCATCCGACGAGAATTTCTTGCCAGATAGCCATTTTTTAAAATTTGGAAACAGGAAAGTCGACGACAATAATAAAACGTCGTAAAATATCCTTCTCATCGCACTTGAAACGTTCAAGATGCGATCGTAAAATGTTCAACCGATCTCGTTTTTGATCAACAGTGAGCAAGTACGGCACCCAACGCCCGTTCAGCTTTCTTACACCTAATTCTTCATGTAAAATGTTGTGCATCCGTTCGTATGAGATACCAACAGCCCCTGCTGTCTCTCTTAAAGTTAATCGATGATCGTCCATCACGATTCAACATAATATATATTGATATTGAACATAATCGATATTGAACATAATCGATCCCCCATTTCACCAGTATTTCCTGTTTCACCCGTTGTTGCAATTTTTGGCCGTCCAGAGCATTCCTCGTCGAAAATGCTTGTTCTGCCACGTTTGAATTTAGCAGCCCAGGTTTTCACGATCGTAAATGAAGGAACAGCATCGCCATACGCTGAATCTAATTCAGCTTCAATTTCCATAGGATTTTCCCTTTCAAATGAAGGAATTTTATCACGGCGCGATACTCAAATTTCTCTATTGTTGACAAACTGTCACACAAAAAGTTGTCAGAAATAAACTAATCGCTAGAATGACATCAAACTTAACTCTTTGTATTTCCTTCAGTTCAGCCATCTATTGGACAAGTATTGAAATTTCACTGAACTCTTGCTCTTTCTTGGTCAGGTCGGAAACTTTTCAATCTACCCTATATTATATATATGATGTATATGATCAGTCACAAAAAGGTTGCAACACTTTTTTTCGATGAGTTTTGCAACGTACCTCGTATCTAATGGAAAGATATATCTCATGAGAATTACTGAAAAACAAACAACTGAAAAATAAACTCTCCCGTTGAACATGGATGCGCCTCGAAATTTATTCGAAAAAGGTGTTGCAACCTTTTTGTGACTGATTGCACCGATAGACGCACGCAAATACATGCTACTAAAAAAATGATCGTGACGTCTGATTTTTCTATATTTTCTGTAATTTTTGTATTTCGCGTATTGATTATAAGTCTTTAAGATTATTTAACCTTTCTATCTTTAGAAAGATACCTAACCAACAGACACAAAGAAAAATACACCCAGACAGTACAGTACGTCTAAAATCTTTAAGACGTCTTATGACCCGACTTTAGATGTTGTGCTGTGTGGGATAGCGCATATAATATTTGTCAAATCTTTTCAGGCCAACTGTCATATATTTCAATCGTTATCATAGAAATTGTGCACTTTACATATCAATTTCTGGAAGATTAGATGGTCAACGATCTTGCAATTCTTTTATAATATTTCTACAAGTCTTTTTCATCACTTTTCATCGTTTTTCATTAAAACCGTAAGAATAGTTTGGTTGCTAGAATTCGAAACACAATGTCGGAAACCGTTTTCGTACTTGTGAAATATGTGTAAATAGTATTTAGTTAACTTTGATTCATATTCTCAACTCATTTTTATTAATAAAAGTGCCTCTAAAAGTGGCTTGGGAATCATCTGATTAGCCGAGGAGCCACATTTACAGCACTTTTATCTATCAAAGTTGTTGAGTTGAGGCCTTCGACTTACATCAGCCTTAGTATAGTCGCCCTTTCTCTAATTTTATATCTGCGTGTAGATCGCGTTTCGACCAATATGTTGTTAAAATAATTTGAAGCGATTCCCCAAGAAATAAACGTATACACATCAATCATCTTGAGGAAACATAGCGCTCGTCGCTCGCTCGTTATGGAGTGTCATTTTCATTATTATCGCGACTTTTGTTTCAAAAATAAAACGCAGCTGAAAGATTAAATTAACCGCAAACGTGAACGTTATATGTGCGTGCGTGTATATATATATATATATATATATATATGCGGGAGTATATAGGACAGACGTGAACGGGCAGCGCGGCGTTCATTTCGCGGTATAATGCTAAATTATGAAAGCCGAAATTGTGTCTGCTCGCAGCGGCACGGTGGTGGCGGTATCGATGGTGCAGCATATTTAACGAGCGTGACATTAAACTTCCTTGTTTCCGATTTACACCGCGATATTGCCGGCGATGTTTATGTATTTTGATTTTCATTTTATTTCTCGCACTCTCGCGGTAATGTCCAAATTCGCTGAACCTCGTAAGCCCCCGATCCGCCGTTACGCAATGACGATTATCGCGATGACGCGCGTATAGTGTACGTATACTCGGGAAAAAAAACGTGTCGCCGAAAAACGATTTTGCGGTGAGAATTGAACGCGAATCCCGCTCGTTCAGACACCCGTAATATTTGCGAAGTGAAGTGCAATGAGAGTTTAACGGCCGTTCTACCGAGCTGAACGAGAGAGAGAATTGCGCGTGGGAGTCGTTAAGTCGATTCTCTTTCCTTTGTGACACGCGAGACAGGATCAAAATAACCTAAATCTGAAGAAGAATCCTCTTTGCGCGGCACATAACATTGATTTATATGGCTCGGAGGGATGTGAGAAACGCGCCGGAAGAAGCCGAAAATGAAGACCAAGTCGAGACGCAGCAAGAGTTACGTTTCGTGTCACCTTTACACGCGAAAACAACTCCGGCTGAAACCTGTTGCAAATTTCCGCAAAAGTAGCCGCCCCTGGCGTTTAACCTGGTTATCCGGCTTCTTGCTTGCCGAGGAAGGCCTTTTAACGCTTTGAAATAATAACATCTATACAAACGGATATCAGACGAGCATGCTGCGAAGTTCCGCGTATCGAAATTTAACTTTTACCCTTTAATTCGCTTCTTTTCCCCAGTGAAATGTGGAATATAACAACTATTTACGTTGTTTTGTATTTTATATCTTTCCCTGACTTGGCAAGGCGAGATCAATAAACCGGTGCAAGCGGATAAAATTATTTACAAGCCTCCCTCTCTCTCTCTCTCTCTCTCTCTCTCTCTCTTTCTCTCTCTTTCTCTTTCTTTCTCTCTTTCTCTCTTTCTCTCTCTCTCTTCCTCTTTCTTTCTCCATTTCTCTCTTGTTTAGTTATTTACTGTGTCAGACAATACGCCGGCTGCTTATTCAAAACGACCGCACTAATAGGTTAAGTTAGCACATCGTGTTGGAGAAGATAATTAATATGAACATAATCCGCAAATCCTCTTTGCCAAAAGATTTAACTGAATACCGGGATTTAAATAAAAGTACGGTCTTCCCGCAGGCTCGAAGTTACGTTACGACTACTATTAACGTATATACAACAAATTGGTGATTTCCTCAAGATGTATTGGCGAATTCTTTTTGCCATTTTGTGGCCCATGTTTCTGCTACCTGCCCTCATGATATACAATTATCCGGTGAGTCCTCGAAAATTTGTCGATCGACATTTAAAAAAGCTCGAATTTCAAATGAGATATTTGACCGAATTGCCGGGGTGGCTCACGACGTCTCGAGTTAGGGGAGACCAGGGTTTATTTCTACGCTATATATATTTATATATATATATATACTGGTTAAAGAAAAGATGTGCAAGAAAAGTGTGCAACATTTCATAATATCATGTACATTTTAGTATAAGTCACGTATGTTGGGCAAATATAACACACGTGATTATATAACAAATTTAATATAATATAATATAACATAAATAACATAGTATAATATATGTGATTTATATAATTTCCGATTTTCACCTATATTTTTGCCATCGTGTGGAGCTGATTTAAACTATATATTATTATCATAGCCATCTCATTTGAATCAATTTAAAGTGAAAGATCATTTTGAAGAAAAGAAATTATCCCTAAACAATGTTGCAATAATGATTAACTAAATACAGAAAAAATTAGCTAAAACTACACTAATTTTTATGTCTATGCAGAGAAAAATATTAAACTCAAGTAAATAATCTTAATTAATTACTTCAACATTCCTTAACAAATGAAATAAAATATTTTTTTCTAAGTGAAATATCTCCCAAGTAAATTTCCCAAATAAAATATATAGTTGGTCCAAGTATAAAATTGACTTAATCCAAGTAAAAATTTTCTAAGGAATATTAGAGTAATTATTTATTTAAATTTAGCACTTTATTCCTGTGTACAAAGACATCACGACCAGTGATTTCAATACTAATGGAACAATAAAAATAGAAGTAGGAGAACGTTTATTCACTGTGTTTAACTTTAAAAAAAATATTCATAAGTGTCACATGCAATTATATCATAAGCTATTTCATACACTCAACCAGCAATCAGCAATCTACATTATGGAGAAGAATGTGCTCCTTTATTTATTAAGTGAGATATATAAGTTGCGACAAACTTACTCGTGTGACTCCCAGTTTCCCCTATCTCTTCATCGAGCCTCATTGAAATCGATCCGATTTATTTCGACCTTGCCGGACCTGTTGCGCCCGCAGGAAACCAGGTGCGCCTACATCGTACTGCTGATGGGCGGTTACTGGGTGACCGAGTGCTTGCCGATCGGGATCGCGTCGTTGATACCCGTGGTGCTGTTCCCATCGTTCGGCATCCTTAGCAGCCAGGAGACGTGCGTCTGCTACATAAACGACACCATCATGGTCTTCGTGGGCGGCCTCATTCTCGCGATCGCCACCGAACACTGCAATCTTCATTTGCGGATCGCCCTCGTCGTGATGAAGACGCTCGGTTGTAGCCACGCGAAATTGGTCGGCGGTCTCTGCACCGTGACCACTTTTATATCCATGTGGATCGCTAACGCGGCCGCGACCGCCATGATGGTGCCCATCGCCCTCTCCATTCTCCGTGAGCTGGAAAAGGTTGGTGCGCTTACATTACGATAAATCGCCGCATCAACCCATGCAGCACAGATTTTGAAGGCAAATGTCTTAAAAACGTTCCTACGTCCTAAGGATATCCGCAGGACATTCTTCGGATTAAGTGTGCTGTGTGGGACGTAGATCACGCGGCATTCTGTCGCATCTCGAAGCATCTCCGTACGATTCCCGCTACTGCCCATCGTTCGTAGCCGTTACTGGAGTCTTAGATATAAATAGAGAAGCGACGTTAAATTCAATATATTAAAAGTCGTCCATGTTTTTCTAAAACCTTGGTAGAAAGTTAGCGATTTTGGACATTGCGCTGTCTGGGTCATTGCGTTACGTAAGATGAAGACTCAAAGGAGTTGTTTGCTAAAGGCCGTTTTCATGTCTATTTTTAAAGATGTTTCCCAAAGAAACTGAAAACTTGTAGAAAATTTATAGAAAATTTAGGAGGAAAAGAATTTTAATTATATTTTTAAATATTATATAATATTTTATTTATATTTATTATATATATATTAATATTTATTATTTAAATAAAATATCTCTCCCAATAATTTGTAGCTATTTGTTATAACTTAATACATCAAAAAAAGAATTTGTGTAAATCATGATATCATAAAAATATAATAAAAATAGTATAACTTACGAATAAATATTATATATCGGTATGCACCGTGCGCTCTTAGTCGTAGTCGCTAAGAAAAACTCGCGCTACAGTCATGTGATTCAAACAGCCAATCAAATCTATCCTGTTCAATATCGCTTTTTTATTTATATCTAGGACTCTAGCCGTTACGTTCGCGCGATTGCGCTCGTTCCAGTCGCTATAACGTAATTAGCCGGTTTCGCAGATAGGATCACTCATAGGATCTTGAATTATCTTGCCGTACAGCAAGGACTTGGAAAAGTATTCGATATAAGGGAGGACCCGGAGCATCCGGACGCCGAGCCGTGAGTATCGAGTATGTCGCACAACGCGATTTGTGTTCTTTAACGCCTGTATTAATAGTTGTTACTTGAAATTTGTCTCAAATGAGATATTCAGATTTGAATTCGGAGTTATATGCGAGTTTTTCAATTATAAATAGTGTTTTCAGATATATAATGTCAAGTATATCATACAATTCAACTGAAAACCTCAAATCTAACTTTGAATGAAAACCTGAATAGAGAGAAAGCACCAAAACTGACATACCATTTTTGGTTTTGGTTTTTTGGCCTCATTGAAGTTTTAAAATTAAAATTTATATGTATACATGCAAACCAGCAACACTTTCCTATCAAAATATGTAATAGTCTTATGAAAATTATTATATATTTCCTTGCAAATAATTATTTGTTAAGATTTTTAAAGATTAACATTTCTGGAAATTAGGCTTCAAAACTGACATACCTATGATATACATATTGAAAATTATCAAAAAAAAAATAAAAGCACTGAATTTATTTTATATTTTATTATTTTATACTTTTATTATTCTTATATGCTATTTTTAGTCTTGCATATTTTTTATTATTAGGAATACTCATAAGTAATGTTATTTTTTTCAGATTAAATAAACATTGCCACCTTGTTCATGCGCGTGATTTATTATTACATAACTTATATACTAATTAAATTTATTGACATTTAATGTGTTTATTGTGAAATTTTGAAAGAATTTGAATTACCGTTAAGAATGGAAGGCCAAAGTGTGAATAAAGTATATATTAGACATTTGATGCTTTACGAGTTTCGAAAAGTTAACAATGCCATTAATGCCACAAGCACCATTAATTCTATTTATCCTAGTACCTTGGATATTAGAACGTGTCAGCGTTGGTTTAAAAAATTAAAAGTTGATGATTTCAATCTTTTCGACGGACCAAAATTTGGAAGACCTATTGAATTTGACAAACATCTTGTGTTGGCTGAAATTAAAGCTAATTCAAAGCAAACCATTCAAGAATTAGCGACAAGGCTTAAAACATCATGGTCATCATGTTAAATAAAATAAAATTTTGTCTAAGTATCAAAAAGAGCGACATTACTTATAGGTACCCCTGATATATAGAAAAGGATTTCTTAATTTCTTTCTGATAATATTGAAAGGCAAACAAAAACAGAGGAAAATCAGTCACTGGCAGCTGTATTTTGTAAAATGATATTTTAAAGCAAAGTTCAAGTATGTCTGTTGAAAGACCAATAAACTCAGGTATGTCGGTTTATAGAACAACCTAATCTCTAACTTGTGGAATTTAGTGACAGAGGATAAAAATTGGCATAAAATGATACAAGGTAATTTAGAAAGTTCAAAACTCACTATAAAATAGCATTAGGTTATGTAAATGAATTGTTTACCGCTGATTTATTTTAATTTTTATAAAATGACACAAAAACTTCAGTACAACGAAAAATCAAATTCTAATAACCGAACGCGCTTGCAAACAGAAACTGCCTTCAACTCCAACTACTATATACAGTAAACAAAGATCATATTCTATCCGACAGAAGTTTAGTATTTTGCAGCTGAGAAACAGGAGTATATCAGCTTTATCATATTTATATCAGTTATGATGTTTTCCTTGTATGTGACATTCCTTTCATGTGACATGAGTTTCAAGTGACAACGATTAATACGGACCTAAGGTTCATGTAGTAAAATTCTATTCGAGAAATAGAATGACAGCTATGTCATTTGAATTTGAGTAATTTTTTATTCATATAGAACGAGTTCTCCACTCTGAATCGTTGAGTGAATATCTTTACTCAAAATTGAAAAGTGAATCCAATATTTTCCATTGTCACGAATTTATTTAAAGCGGTTGAAACCTCATACGGAGTTAGAATACACTCTAAATTTGAATGGAATATTTATTCTTATGATTCAAGGTGGCAACGTTTTTGTTATCGTTACAAGTGAATTTTCACTTGATTTCGGTGAGACTTTACTCCAAGAAACTTGGAGAGTAGACGACGATACACAGTCAATATATATTATCATCAATAAATAAAGTATCTCAAACATCGCGACTTTAATTTTACTGAGAGTTTCTCTGAAAAATTTAGAATTAATGTTTTATTATAATGAAAATGTCAAGATATTAATAATTTCCGAGATATAAGTGATCGAAAAAATAGTTTTCCGTAAACAAACCTTAGACAATAAAATGGATAACGAAATTATTTTCTTCGATTTATTTTAAATAGGCTTTGCTTTAACAGAATTTTATTCAGGACTAACTATACAGATATGTTGAAAATTAAAAATTCACTATGAATAATGACCTCCCTTGACATTTTTAACGAGAAAAAATTTTCTTCAAATGGCTCAGAGAAGCCATTTTCTTAGCAAAATTAAAGTCAGAATTTATTTAATAAATAAGCTTGATAAATCTACGAAATATATTAAATTAAAGCCATATTGAACTTGGCATGGATTGTTTAATATTATAATAATGAGACCTACACAATCATCGTAAATAGTAAAATTTAAATCCAAGTCAAATCTTTATTTATATAATCAAATTATCCAAATGATTATATAAATAAAGATTTATAATTAACATTAAACGATTCATGCTCAGCTTAGCTCAATACAGCCATAATTTAATATATTTTAAAGTCAAGGTGTCTGGGACATCTTGTATAGGGTGTTTCATTTACATATAGAGCAGTATGCCGGGTTACTGCTGCAGGAACACGCGTGAGAGAAAGGCCTACACAGAGAAAAAGATAGAGATAAATAGATAGATAAATAGAGAGAGAGAGAGAGAGAGAGATCCTACAGCGGTAACCCGACATACTGCTCTTTTTGTAAATGAAATACTCTATTATCAATAATTCAATTAGGTCAGTCATCATAACTGTCTAAACTATTCGTCAAGCAAGATCGAATCAAACTCTATTGAAACAAGTTCGGACAATTATTTGTGCCGATGCGTTGTGTTAGAGAAGGATTTCTCGTCGCAGGGATATAAAACCGACGAAGGTGACGAAGGCTTACCTGTTCGCGGCGGCGTACGCGTCGACCTTCGGAGGCACCGGGACAATCGTCGGAACCCCAACGAATCTCGCCTTCAAAGGTATCTACGAGGTCAACTTTCCCGAAGCCGAGCCGATCGCTTTCGGCGCCTGGATAGTTGCTTCGTTCCCGCAAATGGCCGTGAACTCATTTCTCTTGTGGATGTATCTGCGAGTTGCTTTCCTGGGGTACCTGAGGCCGCGCAGCAAAGACGCGGAGATGGCGAGGATCGGCGAAGAAGGCGAGGCCATCGCGAATCAAGTTCGGAACGTTGATCCTTCCCACGCTTCTGTCGATTTTCTCGGATTGATTATAATTATTACTTGTGTCGGTTAAACATGAATTTTGAGATAGATGTAGCCAAGTGTTCTGAGAGAGGAAATACGTGTACAAAAAAAAATTTGTATCAATTCAAAACTCATATTCTCATGTACAAGCAAGAATATATAATCTAACCTAGATAGAACGATAGAAAAATGAAACTTGCTTACACATGAAGAAATTTTATATAGCCTTACAAAAATGTTTCACTGTTTTTAGTCCGCGAAAACTGTTGGTTTGGCTAATGAAAGTGTGCATTCGGCTGAATGACCCCCGTTTTAAGGTTAGGAAAAAGTATTTTGCTGTAACAACGAGCGATTATAGCGGATTGCATTCGAATGTATCCGAATGATATTAATGTACTATTATTAATACAGTATTGTGTAAATTTGAGGTACGTGAACGTATGTTCAGTTACAAGTACAACATACATGTTTAACACTCACAAGAGTTCACATTGCACATTTTGAAATAGCATGAAATGTAAATGGATTCTTTAAGACTCTGGAGTAGTCAGCCAAAAACTCTGTATTGGCACACGGATAAAAAGAATATTCTTATTNGAAGCAGAGAGACGTCGAACGGCGTCTTGTCACGTGTGAACAGCTGCTTCAACGACTAAAAAATAAAGGTTTCATACATCGTATTGTGACTGGTGATGAGAAGTGGATATACTACAGTAATCCCAAGCGTAAAAAATCGTGGGTTAAGCCCGGCGAAGCAGTAGCATCAACGCCAAAGCGGAATATCCACGGTTCCAAGCTCATGTGCATTTGGTGGGATCAGCTGGGGGTAGTGTATTACGAGCTGCTCCAACCCAACCAAACCATCACAGGAGATCTCTATGGACGACAATTGATGCGTTTGAGCCGAGCATTGAAAGAAAAACGGCCGCAATATGAGCAAAGACACAATAAGGTGATTTTGCTGCATGATAACGCTCGCCGCATGTCGCGTCACCGTTCAAAACATACCTGGAAACGTTGAAATGGGAAGGACCCCACCCGTCGTACTCTCCAGACAGTGCGCCTTCTTATTACTATTTATTTCGATCGCTGACTAACGGCCTGGCTGAGCAGCACTTTACTTCGCATGAAGAAACGAAAAAATGGATCGATTCGTGGATAGCCGCAAAAGAAGTGTCGTTTTTTCGACGTGGAATTCTAATGCTGCCAGAAAGATGGGAAAAAGTAGTCTCCAGCAATGGGCAATATTTTAATTGACTTGTTTTTTATTATTTTTTTTAAATAAAGGATTTATTTTCACAAAAAACGGCGAGAACTTATTCACACTCCCAATACAAGCATTCGATGCGCTTCAGCTGCACTTTTCTTCCAATTAAAGCAGAAAATTAAAACCTCCCGCAAATGCTGCTTAGTTAACACAAAATTTGACATATTCAACACAGTAAAAAACAGGGGTTTTGTATGAAACTCAAAGCGATATAAACTGAATATTATTGATAGACGTCTAACCTCTCTGAAACCACCGAAATCAGCTGTCACTATGAAACATTCATAACAGCCAGAGCCATCTTTTGAAAACGGACCGAACTAATTTGTACTCCCAATAGAAATCAGGTCTTACATTTAAGACCGTCTTAGATTAGATCATATTCAGATAATTATTTTTGAATAACGAAAATATTATATTTTTAGTGAAACTATATGGAATTTCTTCGCAAGCAAATTTTCTATTCAACATTATATAAACTTAGTTCAACATGTACATGTTGAGAATACGATCTTCTCAAAATAAGAATATTCTTTTTTTCCGTGTGGGAGCATATTTTCTACTACTTTCAACACTATAAAATGTGTATCATGTGTTTTCCTACATGAATAGAGCCTTATTTCATACATTTTTTATGGCTATTTATTAACTGTCAGAAGAGAAAAGGGGAAAAGATTTCATCCATTTTCACAAATGTCTACGAGCGATTTCAAGTGTTGTTTTATCCAATTATCTCTTTATTTGCAAATTGCACGCAAATATTTCTCAACGTGCTATTTTTCGCCTATGACGTGATGAATTCAACATAGTCGCAGCAACTATTCCGGAACCTTAACATGCTTCTTTCTGCATTGAAATAAAAGAAGAACGTATTAACATGCTGCTACTCATCAGCTGAAAAATAGGCAATCTTCTCAAAAATACTCATGCATACTCAAGTATACTCGTCATGTTCCTTCGTTTAATGAACTACCCATATCTGAGAGTGCAAGAAACTAACATAAAAACGATGGAACGGGTTAAAAAAAGACCATGTGAAAAGTAAAAGCAGTGAAGTAAAAGCAGTGTTTTTGTAAAGGATAGTTTCACTAAAAATCATATTCTTGTGTGTTATTCAAGAATAATTTTCATGAATTAAAAAGAAAAAATATTAGAAAGAACTTAATTTTTAAATTAAGAATTGTATCAGTTTGAAAATATCGTTTATTCTATCCAATATTTTTCCCTACTAATTCATGAAAATTATTCTTGAATAACAAGAATATGATATTTCTGGTGGGATTATATGGAATTTTATATAGAATTTCTTCATATATAAGCAAGATTTATCTTCATATATAAGCAAGATTTATCTTCATATAAATTTATATATATTCTTGTTTATATATGAGAATGAGTCATAAATTAATACTAATTTTTTTTACGTGTGGATTCTCGTAGGTAATCAGTCAGCGTCTCAAAGATCTGGGCCCTATAACGTTTCATGAGGTCTCCGTCGCGTTGCTTTTCGTCGGATGCGTGTTTCTGTGGGTGTTTAGAGCTCCCGGATTTGTTGTCGGATGGTCCGAGGTGTTAACGGATATGTGAGTACCCGAGAAATTTTCCAGTAGCACAGAATAACGTGTATAAGCTTCTTAAAGTATATTATCATAAGAAATGGACATTAAGGGTTAGTAAGAGCCGATCATGGTTGTTTGCAAGAATAAATTTCTGGCTGAAGTAGTACTCGTGCGGCACAAATTAGTTGAGTAACCATTGCCCAACGCTTGGCCAATATTGAATAACGGTTAGCCATCCAATTTGTACTGCACGAGTATTCTTCGTAATTTTAAGGGAATCAGGTGAATGCAGAATTGAAATAATAATCAGAAAAAGAGATAATAGAGTTATTAATAATCGGGATAGGTTAATATGGAAGAGTGATTCTCCGCGTAGGTTGAATTCATCAAATCGTTTCAATAAGCGTGTCATCACATTGGGTGCGTTCGGAGATACTATTAGCGCTATAAACGCAAATATTCCTAACGCTGTTCGTGAAGCCAATAGCATGGAAGCGAGTTCAAGAACGGCATTAGCGTAAACATAAAATGAGACAAGTATATTTTGTCTCACTCTAACTTATTGCATCAGTTCAGCAGTGCAACTAAAAAAAAACGGACTTATTACTGCGTTGCACTGTCGTTTTGCATCTTCTACTATTTTTCCTCGAGTTAGCTTAAAATGTTTTTAGATTAAATCAAATATCGCAGTTTAAACTCATCTTCAGTCTCAACATACCGAAACTTTATTTCCACGTAACTGTCCATTATGTACGAGAATAATAGTAAAATAATGAAATACGATGTACTCGTATTATAAGATATTTGTGTGAAGAAGCTATGATACACAATGTTGTGCAGTTCTGGGCGTTCACGGAGTCTGCAAATGCTAACATTACTATTACACCCCGGAAGGAATAGCGTTTATAGCGCGCAGCTATGACATAGCACACCAGTGACGTCACGATTGTGTTTGTTAACACTATCTTCTAGTTCCGCGAACAGTCTTTAGCGCTAATAGCATCCCCCCGAACGCACCCCTTGTCAAACGTTTCATCCATCCATAATTTGAATTTATTCTCGCATTAACAATCGTTTTTCGACTCTTATTAGCGTATTGAGAGAAATTATAACCCTTTTTGGTTTTAACCATAAGAATAGTAGTAGCAATATAAACATAAAGTTATTATTTCTACAGTATTATTTACTAGGAAAATGGCTCTCCTAACTATAATTCTTTTATTATTAAAGCTTTTTTACTCAGTGCGGTGTCTTTTTTTAATGTCGTTTTAGAATTAAATTCAATCAAATTGAGCAGATTTTTATCGGAATAGCGTTTTTAATTTAAATAACGCTTTTAGAATTAAATTCAATTAAATTAAATACCGTTTCTCGATTCAAATAACGTTTTTACAATTAAATTAAATCAAATCTCCCTTTCCTTCTTTCTTCCCCCCCCTCTCTCTCTCTCTCTCTCTCTCTCTCTCTCTCTCTCTCTCTCTCTCTTTCTCTCACCTCCTTTCTCTCTCACCCCCTCCCTCACACTCTCTCTTATTTTCTATTCACAAATTTTTCGATTTGGTGCCCATCGAATCGATATTTCGGCGTTTTCAGTCGAAAAGAGACCCCTTCCGAATTTTTCGCAAAATACCTCAAGCGTGAAATTCGATGGCGAATATTTTGTATTTCTCGCGATTAACTATCTCAGCTCACTCACAACTGACTCACGACGACCTGCCGCAGGAACTTGGGGGACTCGGTGCCCGCGATTTTCGCGTGCGTATTAATGTTCCTTATCCCGAAGGACCCGGCCTTCGTGCACTTCTGCAGCAAGGATCGTAAGAAGCCTTAAGATGCGATTACGAAGCCAACGGGGACGCGACTCGAGCGGCAAGTTACTTACCGAGCCCTCATTGAGGGAAGTAAAGCGCGAGCGGTTGGCTGCTCGATTCACTTCCCCGGTAGCTTCGTGCGAAGTTTGCATCAGTGATCGCGAAATTTCGCCGGATCGCAGCGTCCAAGAGACCGACCGAGCCATCCGAGGGTCTAATAACCTGGGATGTCATCCGGACGAAAATGCCGTGGCGGCTGGTGTTTCTGTTGGGCAGCGGGTTCGCCATTTCGAAAGCCAGCACCGTCTCGGGCCTCGCTATAAGAATAGGACAATCTCTGGTGCCCTTGAAAGAGCTACCTCCGATATTGATGTTGGCCGTCGTCATGGTATTCGTCAACACGGTAACAGAGTTCACGTCGAACGTCGGCACAGCGAACATACTTCTGCCCATCGTCGCTCACATGGTGAGAACTCGTGCAAACTCTCGCAACTGTAGTTTAGGCTCGGGAAAATTTCGTTTTCTTCCGCGAATTTTTTCGGTTTCTTTTCTAAGAGTAAAAAAATTTACGCGTGCCCGATTAAAACTTGCCGCATTTACCTGTTTTCATAAAGAAGATAATTGGGTGCACTTAACTGAAGTTAAATGATATGTTAACGTGTTATATGTTAAACGATAACAGTTCACACATTATTTTCAAAGAATTACAACTGTGAATATATTGTGAACAAATATATAATATATAATATATAATATAATGTTATTAATGTGTATAATTTTTTAAACCTGTCTAGTAAGAAATAATTACTAGGTGACCCATATAAAGTGATACAGACTAATATTTCGAAAGAAATATATTATATCCGAAAAAAAGTTTAAGACAAAAATTTTAAAATTTTGTAGGAGATATAAAATGGTTATACTATTATGTTATTAAACTATTTTTTTAAACATTATTTCAAGATCAACTTTAATTTTTTTTAATGGAATCATATAGTTTTTTAACATAAATTAATTTCTCCGCTTATTTTACACATAAAAGTATTAGGGTAAAATTGTCGGAAAATATATATATATATATTTTTTTTTCTGAGATATTTCACATTTTATCCTGATATTTTTTGATATAAGACATGAATATATCTCATAATTTATTTACTTTTCGATAATTTCATCCTAATATTTCTGTACATAGAATTAAAAGTGAATTTCATCGTTACAAGAAAAATATAGAAAAACCTTAAACAAAATTCCGTTGCATTTTGTAGATTCATTGATGCACCAATATGTAAAAATTAATATAAATCTCCCGTCATTTAACGTACGAAAGCATTAAGATAAGATGGTTCGACTTTCAAATCACTTTGCGCACTGTTTTTTAAGAAAATCTTTGTCGAGTACCCTTCATAATTATTCACAAAAGATAGAAGGAAAAATTAAAATTATAATAAAAATAAGATTACTTAACTTCTTGGATCACATTAATATAAAGGACATTATAAAGATTATTCAGCATATCATTTAATTAAACAAAAAACAATTTTTTGCAAGAAACCATTTTCCCTTGAATTCTTTCCAGTGATTAAAAAATCGTTTTTTTTTCAATTATATTCGTGACTGACTCCTGTCGCTCACCCTCCCGTTTACCCATTTCTTAAAGTGCTCGGCGATGGAGATCCACCCACTGTACCTGATGATGCCGGTGACTCTGATGTGTTCGTACGCCTTTAGGCTACCGGTCGCCACGCCGCCGAACGCGATCATAAACGTCACGGGGCACGTGCCAACCACCGCACTCATAGCAACCGGATGCTTCCCAGCGATCTACAGTGTGTTAGTGCAAGTTGTCTTCTTTCCTACCTGGGGAGTTTTCATCTACGGTATCAGGGATTTTCCGGACTGGGCTCGAAAGTCGTGATCCGGTTTGCAGCGCGCAATGACCTGCACGGAGAAAAATAATTCAGGGGGACAGCAAATTTTCTGCTGTCGTATAGTAAATAAGTAAATATATAAATTTATAAATGCAGATATACAAATGTAATATGCGAACTCACGAAATGCGACAGATAAAAAGACTCGTTATAGCCGATTACTATTATCGACAACGTTATATGTGCACGGAGAAAAATAATTCAAAGGGACGACAAATCTTAATATTGCCGTAACAAATAAATAAATATACAGGATGTTTTTAAGTATTCCGCTCAATATTTTAGGAATCGATTTTTGAAGTCATTTTATGAAGAAATAAAAGTAATTCATATGAAGTTGCCTTTGTAAAATGACCTCAAAAATCAACCACTAAAATATTGGACGAATATTATAGTTAAGAAACACCCTGTGTATTTATTTATCTGTTACAACAGTATTAATATTTACTGTTTTCCTGAATTATTTTTCTCCGTGCATATGTAACGTTGTTAATAGTAATCGACGGCGATAAGTTTTTTTATCTGTCGTATTTCGCGAGTTGCAATCATAATTACGTTATGAAGATATAGTTAACAAGTTGCGATTAAAATAAATGAAATGTATGAAATAATTATTGCATTATAAATAAACTTGGAATATTATGCAATTTTGTTACCAGTAATATTTATGTGTTTGAAATTTAATAATAAATGACGAATAAATAAATGATAATAAACAGCCATTATATCGCTCTACAGTGAAAAGAATCTAATTCGTATTATGACTTACGGCCACGATAAATCCGTCTTCGCCTCTGTTTAGTAGCTTTACATTCAGTCTGCCAATCCAACCCGTCAGCGCCGCCAGTTTTCGTTATACGCATTTCGCCTTCCAGAAAGCCAGCAGTCTGCGAGGGTGTGTCGTTTTGTTGCAACATTGTTTCTCATTCTTCGTAATTTACCCGGTCTTTGGTGAATCACACCGACGCTGACGACTACGGACTTGCGTAGGGACGTAGCTAGAAAAAATGGGAGAAAAAATCCCAGATAACGAAAAACATCCACGAGTTCGGAGCCGGAGATGGACGAGTTGTTTTCAAGGAATATTGAAACAAGTTGTTAAATAAATATTAAATTATTCATCTTTTGACTAGCAAATTAAATTTCGCAAAACTACTTAAACTGACAAAATAGGGCTTTAATCAATGCCACAAAAATTTTGCGTCTTAAGGTTTTCGAGGTCACTGTTTACGAATATGAAGCCAAAATGTTTATCTAAAATCTATAAAGTAACAAATACTGAAATAATGAATAAATATAATTTATAATGATAAATTATATAATATATAGATAAAATACTTCGTATTTTGGTTATCTATGTTGATTTGAGGACTCGCCAATTTGGATTTTTATTCTTAAAATTTTTTATTGGAAAGAGCGACCTCAAAAATCCCAAAATATAACATTTCAAAATTTTTATAAAATTTTTACATTTTTTAGATCGGCTATATAATATATTCATTATCTTGAATTTTGAATTTTAAAATTTGCTATTGAATTGAGCATTCCCGAAAACCTAAATCTTTAAATACCCAATTTTAGAAATATTAAATTACGAGAAATATCAAAATGTATGTATCCCTATAAGTGTATAATATTATTTAATATTAACTAATATTTCTGGAATATTAATAGATGGTTATATATTCACTCCTAATAATATTTAAAAAATAANTATATATATATATATATAAATTATAGTTTTTTTATTTCAAATGTTTTTTTATTTCAAATGTATTGCAATATCAATTGTTTTATTATATAAATAAAGTCGAAATAATTTTGTGTAAAAATACGCATTTTATACTAAAAAATTATATATTTTTTTTAAATATTATTATGATTATTTTTTTTAATATTCTAAAAATATTTATATAAGATGTCAAGAATATTATGTGAAATGGACATATATAATATCATTAGAATATTTCTATAATATTAAAAAAATATTACATAACATTCTTTGAATATTATAAGAATATTATTTCAACATTTAATAATATTCATATAATATTCTAGGAATTATAGGGATTATTTCTGCCAGTCAAGGGGTTAAACGTATGATGTGCAATTACGCGTGGTGGAGAGGGTAACGGCAGTAGATTGTCTCGCAATGTCAATTTTGCACATTGTCAATTGAGATTGAGATTAAGTCGCTAATATATTTCGCAGATAATCATTTCGTTGGTCGAATTATTTTCAACACATATTCTGTGAATTATTTTTCACAAAAAGGACACTTGAATTTTAAATAATATGGCCGATGCAGTGCAGGAGTAAGTCCAAAGCGAAAGCTTAATGTCTTATTTGAAACTTGACTTTGATCTGTTTTTCATAACCTTATGTGTAGGATTTGTTTTATTGCACATTCGTAAAATTATGATTCTAAAAAACTTACGTTTGTTTAACTTATTATGTTATGAATTTCGAAAGAATCCAACCTAAAAAATTACACTTATATCGTGACTTTACGAAAATGAGAAACTTAAAAGCTTTGCGATTAGGGTTGTGACCACCACCAAGCTGAAATTGACGTGGCGATTCCTGAAAATCTATGCCAAAATTATATTTGCTCTCATTTGGGCTATCTTCCTCACACCTTTACTCTTCATGTGCGGCTCTTCGGTATTCTTTCATCTCTTATTGATTCCCTTAATTCTTAAGTTCCACATTTATGGTTTGACAGAAACGATCAATCGTTTCCTCATCTTTGTGATTTTCTGATATAATACCTTTCTCATATCTTTCCTTATAATTTGTAATATTTCGATATTCTCTACCTTTATCTCTTATTAGTTCTTTTAATTTTTAAGTCTCACATTCAAAACTTGACAGAAACGATGGATCGTTTTTTCAATTTCATGATCTTCCGGATGAGTTTATTTATATTCTTCTTTGTGATTGATGACTGTTTAGTATTTTCTTCCTTATTTTTTAACAGATTTTTAAATTTGTAAATTCGATATTTTAAGCTCGACGGAACTATTTCAAAAATATTTTATTGCTTTTATTCCTCATATGACCTGTTTTTGGTCCTTTTTTAAGCAGTTCTATCATTTTTTTGTTTGTTTCTTGTATTCTCAGACACGTGCAGTCTTTAAGCAAAAAAATATGACGAGTATACGCGAATATACATAAATATTTTTGAGGAGATTGACAATCTTTGATACTTGTTTTATAGCTAATGAGTAAAAGTACATTAATACGTTATTATATATGTTACTCAGTTTCGTTTCAATATGAAAATAAGCACATTAAAAAGTTGTAAATTTATTCATGGTATTTCAAAATATGCAATGTGAATATTTGTGAATATTGAACAAGGATTTTATACTTGTAGTTGAATGTAGATTTACATACTTTAAATTTACACAGCACTGTACGTGTTTACTCAAAAATATTTAACGTTCATATCATTCGGATATACAATTTGCTGTAAATATTCGTTGTTATGCAAAACCTCTTTTCGACTTAAAAATAAGATATAAATACTCAGTTGAATGTACGCTTTTACTACACAAAATCTAAAATCGGTGAAATATATTACGCACAAGAATTAGAGGAGCACTTGACACTTCCTTAAAAAATAGGCAAGATTCAAGTAGCTGCATCATCATCAAAAATTATCCAAATCCAAATTTAATAAAAGGATTTTAAAGTTTGAAGTTTCTATTTGCGAATGACCTCTACTGTTTTTTTGGTTCTTTTAATTTTAG